GGAATACCATAACTTGGTTGCAGCCATAAAGAAGGCATTTTCCATCTTTTTGTCCCACAGTAGGCATCCTGGAAGGTGAAGGTGATATGAACCCCATAAGCTTCTTTAACTTCTTGAAGAAATCTGTTGAATTAATATTTTTGCAAGGATAAAGGATTGGTTTCTCCATTTACTTCTCTGTATTAACAGTAAAGATAAGGAGTGGTACAAATAAGCTCCCATGTTGTACTGATTGTGAGAATGAAGCACTGGAGAAGTTGGAAAGGAATAGGCACATGCTAGCAGCTATTCATACATAGAATCCTCAGGAGGCCTGTTACACTGAGAACCACCAGTTTAGACATGTTCCCAGTTTCCTCCCTCTGTCTACACCATTTGTGATCAAGAGTGAGAATGATGGGCAGTATGTCCAAGGCCATCTGGATGGCTGTGTCAAATTGCCAATTTCACCATCTGTTGTAAGAAGTTCCTTTTTTGGAAATTTGCATTAAATATGCTCCAGTGTATGACTAAAAGCAATGTGAAGAGAGAGACCCCTTGGACCATGGTAGTTAAATGCATCCGTGAGTTGTTTTGGGAGATCGTTTCCTAGTCATTGTCTGCATGGTTGATATATGAGATATCACAGGCTCTGCCCTTCTCCCTGGACAGTTTTACCCTGGAGAGTTGTGAGCTCTGATGAAGTCATAAAAATAAAACTGCCAAACTGTGGGGTGATTTAATCACAAGCCAGCCGCATTGATTCTTCCCTTAGGGTACACCATGCATTTGTTTGGAGATAATTTTGCCAGTGCAGTGAGGAGGGAAATGGAAGCAGCTGTAAATAGCATCTTTGTGTTGTGATCAGGTGTACCTTTGTCAGGAAACTCGTGAGTGTCTGATATTTGGGGCTGGTTGAAATTGATTCTTGGTTGAATGGAATTAGTTTATCCCAGCTGTTTGGTGTCTTGTTTTGCATTGTGTGTCTGCAGATGCTCAGACTGAGTTTGAATCTCATTCATTGCCTGATTGAAGCAAAACTGAAAGCTGTTCTTGCTTTGCTCAGCACGTTGCTTTGTGAATGTTTGCTGCTAATGTGCTTTTGTTTGTCCTGAAAAGCTCATACCCAAGTCCAAGGTCAAGTCTGGAAGTGAGAATGTAACTGACAAGAGCCTAGTTGAGCTGCTTTCTAAGAGTGACTGAGAGACCATTCTTTCAGCTGTTTTGGAGATTCCATCATTTGTATTATCCAGACAGTATGCTTAGGTTAAGACATGCAAAAGCATCATGTTGCTATTTTAGTGAACAGAATTTTTAATGCTGGAAATGGATAAAAATATATTGCTGTTGTATCATATCATCATGGATTGACATGTACCCTTTTATACCACATTCTTAAATTAGATGTTGACTGTTGACATAAGAGATGGTTGTAAATGTTGAGTTTTCATACTTATTAGGCTTGTATCCCACCCTTCTTTCCAGGAGCTTAGAGTGGTATGCATACTGTTAGCCCAGTTATTTATTACTGTGAGGTAGGTTACGCTGAGTCTGACAAGTCCATATTCACTCAGTGGATTTCATGGCTCAACAGGCACTTTGAATAATCTATTTCAACAGTATATCCATAAGAAATGGGCTTTAAAAATAAATACTAGTTTGAATGCTTTTAAACATACTTAATTTTCTGAAAATCATATGGATAAGTATGCAGATCACTTGAAATATAGGAAGTATAACATTACATATACATTAAAGGGTCGGTTAAATCAAAGTAACTACATTCCTACAAAATAACCTTATGAGAGGGAAGAATAATCTGTCACGTAAACAAGAAGAATAAGGGCCTGAAACATTTTGTCAGTTGACTAGATCACAAGTATTACCAGTCTATAAGTAAAATAACAGAAGGTGGACTTGCCAGCAAGTATTTCATTGTCCTTTCCTTAACTGTAACTGCAGTAAAGACTGATTTGATTATTATTGATTTCACTTTGCTCCTGCCAGCACTCATCAGTCAGGGAACATATTTTTGGTACTTCACAAAAACTAGGTCCCCTAATGCTGGAAGCTGTCTATGTCATAACACAAGTCTAGGGGGAAGATTCACATGAAGATTTAATAACACTTTGTTTCAACTTTTAGAGCCTTTCACTAAGATATATAGGTTCCAGGGTCTTCTGTAATGCACAAGCTATTTAGAAACAGTGCACTCATGGGAACATGACACACAATATTATAATTTCTTACGTATTTGTTTATTTTAAGCATTTTATCCATCTCTGCAACTAAGAAGTTTCCCAGAACAGCTTCATAAGGTCAATAAGAACAATGTGTTATTAAAATAGTAAACTATTTAGAGAGGTTGAGATGAGGCCAGGTTGCTGCTGCAAGGCAATTGGTTCTTATGGTCTTTGTAAGGGGAGGAGAGTCCTGTGTTTATTCCTGCTTGGTAGAGAAGATGGTGATAACAGTTCACCTTGCTAGCTTCTTCCTTCTTTCAGCTTTCTTTCTCTCATATATTTTTGTTCCATTTTTTCTCTCTGAAAAACAAATTACTCAAACCAACTTAACATATAATATAAAACACATAACAATGACTAATAATTAAAATACCATTGTAAGGTAAAAGGGGTAGCAGAATGACACAGAGAAGGGGAAGACGGTTAGAGAAAGAACATTGTGAAAGCTGTGTTAAGAAATATTGTCCACATTGCTAGGCTTTCATGTTGTATGATGCGCTTGGCATGGAACTGAATGATTGCTTGCTCCTTTGTGATCCCTCACTTTAATTATACTCTTCATCCAAATATAATAGCATTTATTCTGGTGTGATAGGTCTTTACATAAATGTGAGTTGGTTACTGTAATATGATAAGGATTTTTTTCTCCCATTTAAGAAATGTAAAATTCATAAGAGCTGAAATTTCCTTTGAGGAACCAAGATGAATTTTGAGAGGGTAACACAGGCATTGATTGGAAAGTGATACATTGGAAGTAATCATTGATGAGAATAAGTTGGCACCAGAGAGTAGAACTGGAATACTGCACATATTGGCTCAGCAATCCATAATCCTATAATGCTTGAATAAGGCCTTTTACTGTCCATAAAGTCAGAAATATAGTTGGATAGAAACAGCTAGTGTTCAAGGGAAGTAAATTTTCTGGTTTTCTTACTTGTGGCAGCAGTTGTACATGATCTCAAGAACAGGAGGCAGCATAATAATGTTTTAATGTCAGGTGCTATTTCTGATGCTTGGAATCAAAAGGATCGTGGAATCAAGGATAGTATCTTTATGTTAATTCCTGTTTCTAATGAGTTGGCAACCAGATGCCTTTCAGTTGTTTTGGACTACAGCTCTCATCAGCCCCAGCCATCATGGGTAATGAAGCTTTGGAAATTGTAGTCCAAATCATTTGGAAGGCACTGGTTCTCCTACCTTCACTATATATTACTACAGGAGATGTTCAGGTCCCGTGTGGCCACTAAATGTCCAATGATGCTAAAATTACTGAGAACTTTTAAAAATTGCATGACATAATCTGAGTTCACATAACAGAACAAGCCATGATGGTTTGGTGCTACCTATGATGGTTTGTTGTATCATGCAAACCCAGACTAATCTCTTCTTGTTTGGCAGCAAGCCCCTCCAATAATCTATAACCTATTCTAGGGGCTCCTGTAGTTATGATGGTTTATTGTGCCAGCAGAAACTGGGAGAGTGACCTCATCATGGATATAGGGAATTGTCTAGTGGCTTGCTTGGAAAAAGCAGAAAACCCCCCTTGTTGCTCTTGCTAAGGCTCTGAGCAGCGCTAGACACCCCCCAAGTACCCAGGAAGTACTTGGGATGGACTGGTACCAGCTGGATGTCCCCTACCATGACCTCAAGTCAGTTTTGGCTAGCTACAGCTCTTTTGCTCTTTACTCTTGGAGGAACTATCAGTTTTTTTTCCCAAAAATGCACACAAAGTGTATGCTTTGGTTTTTTGTTTTATTTTAAAAGTAATATTAGCCCTACTTGCATGCAAGTGCACAAATTTGAAGCTTTTCGTGGGACATAGTCCTGGAGGATACCTGCTGCCACAGTTCAGCAGGCACCAACCCTGGACGTACCCCAAAGGGGGTCCAAACAAATTCTTTCCCCCTTTGCTTTCTTTTAACAGCTGTCAGAAAGGAAGCTGTCAAGAGAAAGCAGTTAGTGCTATTTGCTTGCAAAAAGGTGGTGGTGTAATTTACATCCACTTCAAGGAAAGAGCCTCTACTTTTTTCCCCACCTCTACAATCTTCAGGCTGATGAACATTTTTCACTTTTCTCCAAGACTCTAGATACTCAGGAAAGTGTAAAAGTGCATCTTTCCCTCTTTTCTTTGAAAAACTTTTGCAGCTAGTTATTAAAACCCCAGCTCCTTTTAAAAGGGGTTTTTGGTCATGCTGTGGAGGTGTTTTGACTGGGACACATGATGCCATAAGAACTGTAGAAATGTAGTGCTGTAGAAATGTAGTTATTGCTGCTGTTTGTCATAAATGTGTAACATTGTAAAAGTCAGTGGAGGAATGCCAACAAACTTTTATATAAGAGAAACAAGGACATGTTTAACTTGGGTGTGACATTAAGTAATCTATCTCAAACTGGTACAAATTGAACATGGTGCCTCAAGAAAGGGTCATTTTAACAGTAAAAATGTAATTATTTGTTATGGAGTAAATGCATTAACACAGTCTTTTGCATTGCAGTATTTGTCTTCATTTGAATACACATCCAAATTACACTGATGCAATTGATCTTCCAATAACCAGGTTTATGAAGATCCTTTTACTGTTTGTTCTCTCTCTATCCTTCCCATGAACAAAGGGTTGCTTGTTGTTTGACTGTTGTTTTTATCAAACTTATTCCACAGTGCTCAGATGCCGGGTTAATAATGGTGGTATAATATCCAAGACATGGACTGATAAACAGATGAATCTTGACTGGATTTTTTTGTGATTTCGTCCCCACTTTTTTGTTTTTAAATTGCAGCAGACAGAAGGAGGGGCACAGACGGATGGCCAGCAGTCACAGACACAAAGCAATGAGAATACTGAGAGCAAGTCTACTCCAAAAAGGCTGCATGTCTCCAACATTCCCTTCCGCTTTCGGGATCCTGACCTCCGGCAGATGTTTGGGGTATGTTAGTAATGTCCTTTGAGAAGCAATTGAGCTACTTATTTTTATTCATTTTTATAGTTCGTCCTACATGAATACATAAAACATTATATACCTGAAAAAGTCACAGGCAAGGAGATCACATCCCTGTGTCTGCTGTTTGAGGGTTACTCTTCTCAGGGTAGTGAATGTGTCTCAGTCTCTGTGGTCAGATGAAGAAGAGTTAAGTGTATCTGTACTCGGGGCGGCAAATGTCAGTTGCCTAGGTGCACTTGCTATTCCCAGCTGTACATTCTTTTCCCTGTTGTCAAAGAGGATTCAGGTACTGTGAATGTATCACTGTGGGAGTCAATGTTACTGAAGCATTTCATTTCAAAGGACATATTTATTTTCTGGAAACTATGTTTCTTTTAAAATTCTGCTTCTTTTGAGTTAATTTAAAAGAATGTCTCCCCCCCCCCCCGCAAAATTCCCTCACCCAGATTGGGAGTGGGGTTCTGGCATGTTTTAAACTGTGTGTATGGGAGAGAGAATGAGAGAGAGTATGCACAAATATACTTCAGTTTTCAAAACAGTTTTCATGAAGTACCTGAGAAAAATTAACAGTGATAGCCTAACAAGGCAATTCTCCCAGATTCTTCCTGTGGTTTATATGGGCAACCTTTTCCCATTTTTATCCTCATAACCCTGTGAGCTTGGTTAGGCTAATAGGATATTCAATGAGGTTCGTGGCCAAATGGGTGTTTGAACTTGGATTGAAACTGAATCTCCTCAGCCCCAGTCTGATATCAACCACTGCACCACACTGGCTCTCATTATCCAACAGAGAGAAGAAAACAGATTCTAAAATGGCTTGGAGACCAGTGCATTTAGTGTCTCCAGAGATATGTAATATCCATTACTACTGTCTATAGTGCAATAGTCAAACATATTAAAGCTGAGCACAGCTGGTTGGTCTGTCCTGACCAACATTGTGTTTACCAACAATAGGTACCTAGATGCTCTAGAGCTAATTTGAGGAACCTTTGGTCCTCAGGTCAAATTTGGCCTGCCAGGCCTCCCCATCCTGCCCTTGGAAGCCTGTAGTAAGCCTTCCTCCCATGTGCTGAAGCCCTTTCCCCTATTAGGAGGGAGAGAGATAGGAGAGTGGCTGTGACTTTTACAACCCCTTCCTTCCTTACCTTCCCTAACTAGAGAAGGTGACTAGGGAGCAAAACCATCTCAGGACTTAAATGGCACCTTGAATTGCTGACTGAGTCTGCTGTATTCCTCCAGGACTTTTCCTGCCAATGACAGTAGCCACATATTAGCAAAAAGGCAGGATTAAATTTTGCATAGAGCTTCTGTAGGCATAAAGTAGTGGGCATTTCAGTCATGGTGGCTTACTTTTTCAAGCCACCTACTAGAACCTGTCATGACAAATAGTTTGGAAATCACCAAGCTAGCATTCTTTTTATCTCTATGTCACGCCTTGAAACAATTCCAATTAATAGTTAGATGTTTTGTGGCATTTCAGTAGCTTCCACATTGACTATTTAGTAATTGAGGTGGGGGCAGTGAGAGGTAGTTTCAAGAACACTGTCCAAGCTATGTCAAATTACATTGGAACAGAAAGATGTTTTGTGTTTCTACCAAATTGCTGGTTACTTTACAGTTATCCTACTTAGAGTAAATGTTGTGTCTGGAAGGCTCCTCTGCAGATTTGGATGTAAAATAAGAAGTGCATATGAACTGTGGTGCCTGTGGGTTTAGTCTTTCCTTTTCCTTAATGAGAAGCTTTGGCTTTCCTGGCTCAGACATCAGTCACAAGGCTACAGTCTGCCAGAACTACTTTTACTCTTTGGGCACATGTAAGAGCATGTGCCATTTCAAAGCTTGGGGTAGCTCTGCAGTTAGAGCAGAGACACAATCGATAGTTCAGTCCTTATTTCATGCCAGTACAGCATTTCTGAACAGCAAAAACACAGCCTAGAACGACAAAACAGGTCAAAAATATTTTTCCAGCTCCTGTTCCTCCTCCTTTTTATTATGTGTAAGAGAGTTTTCCCTTTGGTAAATCATACCTTTCTTCTGTAGGGAACCAGTAGTTTGTAGCTTCTGCTGTGTATGGCTTTATATGCCTCCCCCACCTTTCTCAATGTCAGGTCTGAGTCTTTCAATGTCATTTATGAAAGACTTAAGGCCTTTGCCTGGAGTTGGTTTCCAAAAATACCATAAACAGAGAAAATGTGTATATAGCAGGAAAACGTTCCAGGAAGGAATATGGTAATGTGGGAGGCGTGAAGAAGACCCTGAAGGAAATAACAGCAACCTTGAGGTCAGCTTTATATTGGAACATAAAGCATCTGATAATTTTATTATGCAATCTAGAAAAGAGAGGCAGAATAGACAATTATAGTTTTTTGTGTGTGATCAGTCATCATTTATATTGTCATTAGATGTATGAGAATTTCTTAATATTTTGAGTCCTAGCAAACTTGAATATAAAGTGCTCATTAGTGGCATAAAGTGAGCAATTATCCAGTTCCTGCTTCTTTACCCTTCATATGGCCCAACATGTGATATAACTTTTTGCCTATGTCCCTAATATGGATATTTAGGCTCCATGGTACATACTGAGTCCTTGGAGATGATTACCCCATTTAAGGGAATTCATTTATTTATTTAAAACATTTATATGCCACCTATCTCACCAATGGCATCCCTAGGCAACTAACAATCACATGATTATACCTCCTAATAGCCAAAGCTTCCTCCCACATTTCCATATTCCTTCCTGGGCTATTTTCCTGCTATGTACACATTTTCTCTGTGTGTATGGTATTTTTGGAAACCCACTCCAGGCAAAGGACTTAAGTCTTTCATAGATGACAGTGAAAGAATCAACCTGACATTGAGAAAGGTGGGGGTGGCATATTAAACCACATACAGCAGAAGCTATAAACAACTACTGGTTCCCTACAGGAGAAAGGGTTGGTTTCAGTATGATTTACCAAAAGGGAAAATCTCTTAAAAATAATAAAAAGGAGGAAGTGCAGGAGCAAAAGCTGGAAAAATATTTTTTGTCCTATTTTGTATTCTAGGTTCTTTCTCGCACGCACGCATGTGTGCACACACACGCACACCCCCCCTCCCCCAGAGGAGGACTGAGCGATCCTGTGGCCTTTCAGACACTGTTTAGGAGGCATAGAATTTCTACTTTAGAGGACTAATTTAAATTTACCCGACTTAAATGATCTACCCTCTGAGATGTACTTAGATGTTATCATTCAAAGGTATAAAAATTTTGGTCACAGGTTTTCAGAACTGTAAGGTTCTGCTGCTTTTTGAGAGATATTTACAGAAAAGTGTTGTGTTCAGAGAAAGCTGCATGATAGTGTCTATTAAAAGAAGTTGGGAGTTCCATCTACCACTTTGTTACCTTGCTTTTTGGGGAAGTGTCAGCTTTTCTTGACTTGAAATTAACAACCACTCAGAGCCATTTATAGATGCATGCTGCTATTTTAATATATATTTTATTTTAATTTTAATTTTTATTTATTTAGAAAGCTTCTATGCCACCCCATTTGCCAAAGCCTCAGGGCAGCTCACAACAATAAATAAATAATCATAATAAAAAAACAATATAATTTGAGTCGACCTGGCCAGAGAATAAAATAAATAAATAATATGAACAATTAAAATAACGCTTAAATAAAAAGGTCTTCGCCTGGTGCCAAAAAACAAATAACGACAGCACCAGGCGGACCTCTCTGGGGAGCGCATTCCATAGATTGGGCGCCACCGCAGAGAAAGCCCTCCTCTGAGTACTTACCCTCCTAATATCCTTCTCGGAGGGTTCCTGGAGAAGGGCCTCTCCCACTGATCTCAATATATACAGGCTGTTTTGCTTCAGTTATAACACTTTAAATAGCTTGGGGTTAGGTTATCTGAAAGTCTGCCTCCTCCCATACAAGCCTGCTCCAAATTGCAGCTATCTGAGGCTCTGCTTTGTTTCTTAGAGAAGAGAACTTGACCTCTCCTACATAAAAAGAGTTTTACGTAGTAGCACCCCAGTTGTGGAATGCCCACCTTAGAAATATTAGGTAAGCTGCCTCCTCACTGTCTTTAAGGCAGCTGGTAAAGATTAGATTGTTCCAGTAACCTCTTCATAGGTAATGTGGCGCTCTCTGTTTTTATTCTTAATACCTTGCTTCAAAATATGTCTTTGTTTTTTAAATTTTGTATTTTTGTTACATGTCACTTCGTGTGCTCATTGAGTAGAGGGAAAGTCCAAAAATCCTCTATATAAATATTTAAGTCCAGTCAGGTAATATTTTCCTGTGTAGAATGGCCCATGCAGAAGAAAACAGCTTAGTCTGCATGACTGAGTGAGGAGTGCACATACAAATCTGAAGATTATCATGGTTCAAACACAAAGCTGAAAAGTAGTTGCAGTCAACATTCAGTTCATTGTAATACCTGTAGAATTGCTTCAGGGAGAAATTGGATTGTTGTTACTTGCTGTTGTTGAATAGTAGCTGAATGACTACTTTTTGAATTTGGGTCCCAGCGTGCACCCCATAAAACTCATTTGATATGCCTGAAAAGATACATTTCCCTTATTAGCTGCCTGAAAGAGAGGTGTTGGGCTCTTGCTTTAAGCAAGGAAAGAAACAGCCAGCACCTGTCGGGATATCTCCTTGTTGTACAGCTATTCAGGACAGCAGGAACTCATTTGGGCCAAGAACTGACAACTCTTAATTATTGCTTTCTAAATGTATGCGCTTCAGCTATTCATACTTGATTGGCCTAGTTAGGTCAGTGCCTCTAGGGCAGTGGTGGTGAACCTATGGCATGCACCCTAGCAGCCCCAGCATCGCCCAGCAGCTGAGCATCGGATAACAGCGCACATAGGGGCCATGCGCATGCTCGGAAAGGAGTAGTGGCACCAGGCGATGATGTCACGAGCCGCGACTCATTAGCTGTGACTCGTCTGAGCTTTCACATGGCCAGTCAGTGCAGAAAGAGAGAGACAGAGAGAGTGATTGAGATTTTGCTCGGACTGGCTGTGAGTTTTGTTTTTTTTTCTAAATGAAAATCTCAGTATTCAGGTTTTACTGCAGCGTTGGCACTTTGTGATAAATAAATGGGTTTTGGGTTGCAGTTTGGGCACTCGGTCTCTAAAAGGTTCACCATCACTGCCCTAGGGCAAGTCCTGTTGTTTACAGTAAAATTTAGAAGAGCTGACAACAAGCTTATAAGAGATACTAAGATGGACTGGAGGAGCGAAGGGCTTAAAAGGCAGGCACCTATGACCTGTTTCTATTTAATATTTTTAATGAATGTGAATGTGATTTATATTTTTGAAGCAGTCAATTCTGACATTTGTGTTCAATGAAATATTATATGCTCATATTTCCTTCATAAAGGATGTAAAACCTTAGACCAACTGACTAATTCTGACCTTTCTGAGGCTCCAGTCTGGCCCTCTCAGTCTTCCTGGATGCCCATGCCCCCTTCCCCTTTCCTTCCCCCCCTCCCCCACCACTGATAGTTGGGGTGGCCTCCTGTCTTTTGTGCAATTTTTCTTCATTCAAAAAAGGTTGAAATGCCTCTCCTGAAGTTCAGTTACTGACAGTAAGACATTTAAACTAAAATACATTGATACTTTGACCCTACCCACTGTTGGAATTCAGCTGCTGAAAGCTTCTTCAAAATGGAATTCAGCTCTTGGGCTGAAAGAATTTCTGCATTCCTGTTTACTAGGGAGTAAATCCTGTTGTAATCATTGAGGTTGCTTAATGCAGTATCCTCAGAGGAAAATAATTTTAAGAAATGTTTATTGACAGCCTTGTATGGTTACAGCCTTTTTAATGTATGTTAATAGTTTTAGACTGTAGGAGGTGCAGTTGATCCAATGAAAGGAACTGTGTATGGAGCTCAGTTTAATGAGGAACTAATCTAAAAATGGCAGTCAACCCAAATTCTCTTGAAATCATTTAAGAGAAGTGTCAGCAGACCAGGAGGTCTCTGAAGTCTGCAAAAGTATAAACATTGCTTTAGAAAGACCTTAAAGTGTTTGTGGGGGAGGGGGGAGCTTCCAATACAGCCTCAGGATGATGGGCCATGATTGGTGGCTACAGAATGCCACTGAAGGGAACAGAAAACCAGGCGGAAAATATGGTGGAATGGAAGATTGTTGAAGAGGCTGACTGGAATAGTAGCAGTCTGCTCTGCAATTTGTTACTGGTCCCACTTGCTTTTCTTGAATCATAATAGAACTATGTACTTGTGTCTGATTAAACCAAACTCACATCTCACTGGAGTTGTGCATGACTACTTAGCTTATCTTAGGTTTTACACAGAATTTGTCACAGGCTCTACTTTTCTGCATTTCATTGCTTTATGGTCCCATTTTCCCATTGCTTATATTCTCTCCTATGGTATATACCAACCAACTGAAGAAATTATTCATGAAACAGATGAAATGGACATTAGTCCATGGCAGCATATGCCACAACAAATAACTTAGATCTTAAAGCACCAGAAGGCCTATTGATTTACATATTTATTTGGTGACAGACTAATATGGATTCCCCCCTGATGTGTCTTACTCCTGATTTTAATGTAATTAGTCTAGAACATACAAAGTACTTACCTGCTTCAACTAAATAAAACTGAGAACCAGGAGAAATGCAAGAACTTAACTGAAATGGATTGACTTCATTGTAGAACCTTCTCAGTGATGCATTAGAAGAAATGGGTACATTCTTGCTCAGCTAGCCTAGGAAAAGTTTTCAGAAAGAAGAACAAATGGCTTCGCTAATCAGGTGTAAATCTTTTTTTCTTTGTAGCAATTTGGCAAAATCCTTGATGTAGAGATAATCTTCAATGAACGTGGCTCTAAGGTAAGTTTTGTTTATATTTTCAGTTTCTTTTTCTCTCCCTATTCCCCTGCTATCCTACCCCTTCAGTTGGAAGATAAGGCAGTTTCTTGACTAAAGAATGTGCTTTGCAGACAGCAGAGGAACTGGGCATCATGTGTTACCTACTGCTGCCATTTCATATAATTACAGATTTTAAGGGAGACTAATACCTGTCTGCCCTAATACAACCATAATTTTCCCTTTCAATATCAGATTTCCAAAACTTTAGAGAATCTAGGGGGTCACTGAAGCTCTCAGAGGCAGATCTTCCTCTGATTTTTCTCAAGTTAATGGTGTTTGGGAAAGAAGGATTTTGTCCATTAAAAAAACAACCTATAAATGCATTAAATGGCATTTCATTAAATGAAAACTTTCACCGATTATCTTGTGTGAAAGAATGTTTTTCCTTCTTTCTAATAGTGTAATGGATCCTTCATGATTGCAAAAATGTTTGCCCATCATAATTTACAAATACAAAAAGTATAGTCACAAGTATAGCAATTTTAAGTGATGCTTGTCCTAATGGTTTTCATCATGAAACCCCAATGTCCCCTCACTGAAGAATTGATGTGATTCTCTCTCTGCCCAGTAGGTCCAGCACTGGAATAGCAGGGAGTGTTGCAGGTCAGGAGCAAGGTGCATTGGCAGAGCTCTGTGGGGGAAGCTTGCACAGTGCATGTCTATACTATGCTTGACTTAATCAATGCTAAGATTTCCACTTTTAATTAAAAACAAACATCCAACCCATTCCCCCACCCCATCATACAAACAGTCTAAAGGTATAGCTAGCGTTATATTTTTAAATTCTAGGCTTCCCCAGCCTGGTACATGTCAGATGTTTTGGACTTCAACTCCCATCAGCCCCGGCCAGCATGGCTGATCATTAGGATTGCTGGATTTGTGATCCAAAATATTTGCAGGGCACTTGGTTGGAGAAGGCTGCTGTATATCATAGCCCCACTTAAGTGTTTATAAACAGGTTAACTCCCATATTTGTCAGTTAACACGTTGAAATTCCTTTCCATGTATTATCTGAAAACCAGAAATGGAATGATAATATTTACAAATACAATATTTCGCCTATTTTACACTTCTATTGAATTCTGAAAGCTTTTTTAAAAAGCTTATGAGGACCACTAGATCTGTTAGCTTAGTCTATGAAGCTCTAAGATAAAATTAATGCAACATAACATGTTTTGAGCTAGTGGAGAGCTGCAAATCGCAGTGTGCTGCATCCAGATCTTTATTTATATATCTCTTGCACATGCTTAGATGCTGAACTCGGAAAAGGAAGGGATGTTGTGCTTCACTATGGTCCTTCATTAGCGATAGGCTATAGACAAGGATAAGCAGAAGGAAGCCAGTAGGGTATGTGAAAGGCTTTTGGAAGAGCAGCAGGCTGGATAGAATACCACAGGCAGGGCACTTGAGTTATGCAACCTTCTACAAAGTTGAGCATTCTTCATTTGTAATTTTTAACAAAATATGCACACATTTATATATTTGTCTCTGTACAGTTCAGATATTCATAAATGAAAAACTGTTCATGAATTACATTTACTTTTGTTTTATTTTGTCAGCCATGGGGAAACAGATTCCCTTCTTTTTTAAATGTATTAAAAAGATGCGGAAGTAGCAAGCCAGTCAGTGATGAAAATGTACTCATTCTTTAATTTGTGTGGATTTGTTCCTTAATTTTATATATATTTGTCTCTTCCCTTGCTTAAATAGAGTCTTATCCTGACACTCTCTCTGCCCTTACATTTAGTATCTTCCATGAATTGCAGAATTCTAGTGGCCAATATTTAACTATGCAGTTAATTAAACCTAAGATTTCTGGTTTTCAGTTAAAACAAGAGCTATTAGCTGTGAATGACTTTACAATTATTTGTCATGCATTAAGAAACTATTTAGCAGAAAGCTATTGGCTAGGTTCTTGATAGAATTTCAAAACAGAAATTTCTCTGATAGAATTGCAAACACCCACTTGTCAAATTCACAGCACTCTCATCAAAGAGTTCAAAACTGAGGCTTGCTGTTTCAAATATGGTGAATAGCATACATGGGGCTCAAGAAACTCTCAAATAATGTATAGTTATGTCACTGAATATTGAATTGAGATATTTGGGATTCCCCCTTCTTTTTCAAAACATAACATAGAACCCCAATGGTGAAACACCAATCTTTCTAGGTTCTCTCACTTGTCACTCCCCTTTTCTCTGCCCCCCAAAAAGCAAGCCAAAACTTGAATGCCTTTCTCATACCCTATGGTTTCTTTTCTAACCTAACGATATGGAACCTTTCTTCTCCTCCTCTCTTTTGGGAATCGGAAAGCAGATGCTCCCGCTGCCTGCCTTGTGCTGTGTTCTCAGTATTACCCCCTCCCCTCCCTGGGTTTTAAAGGGTATATTCTTGAATATGTGTTTGATAAATGAATGTTACAAAGATTAAAACATAAAAACCAAATTGTTCTGGGTGTGTCTCCACCCAGTATCTGGGAAGTTTATCCATGGACTGAGCAGATCTTTATCCCTTCATAACTATGGCAAAGGTCCTCTGTCAGAATTGTTCCAGTGTTGGAAATTTTGGGAGTTTCTGCAAATTCTGCATCCTACCTTTTAATCAATCTGAGATGAGATGATTTTTTTTTGTTTTCCTAGCAGAGGAAATGCAAAAATGGATGAGTGTTTGTGTGCTCGTGCTTTTGTTAGAAATAGTGAAAAATCTGCTTCACAGCAGGATTTAGCTGGCTGAGAAGTTATTGTTACACACACTTAGAGCACTATCCTGTAGCTTCCTCAGTTTGTTCAGGAGCCATAGGGTTGTTTGAAGCCCCAGCATCAAGTTCCTGCAACTTTGGAGCTGAGACTCCAAATCTGAACCCTTACCTCCCTCACAGACAGTGCAGAAGTAACCCTGTGAACTGCCACTCCAAGGCTAGAAATTGGCCTCAGAAAGAAGGAAAAGGTGTGGGAATGGGAGGAAGTTGGGGCTGACAACTGACACTACATCCATATTGCATCCCAGCCTCCTTCCCTCTCTCTTTCCATTGATCCAGCATGTAGAATTTGGAGACTTACATGCATTGTGTGTGGATGGTGCCCTTTCAGAGTTTTAATATTTAAACTTAGAAGCACACACCTTTGAATTGTATAACATGCACAAGATGCCAAATCAGTGTTGTATTAAGAGAATGTTAATGAAAAAATACTTTTGAGAAGAATTTCATTTCTGTTCAGCCAAATGTGCCTCCTGGTTTTTAAATTATTTTCACCAGATCTCTTATTCTTTCATTTGTTATGTGTGTACTGGAAGTCTTAGCCAAAAGGGGGTTTGATGCTGGTTTCTTCCATTTTGCCTGTGGAACTACTTAATTCTCCCCTGAAATGGAATGTTTTGGCTTCCCTGAAACTAGTGTGATTCTCTTGAGGTTACTACAGCATTTGATTAATCCAGATTACTTCTGATTAGGGTACTCAAATCTTATCACAGTGACCCTGCCTAAGGCAATAAAGCACTTGCTGAACCAAGCACTTACTATGTAGCCACCCATATTTAATTGGTAGGGAATAAATGCATTGATATTCTTCTGGCTCAATCAAGATGCAGATTGAGTGGAGTCAGGGAAGGCCTGCATCATTCTTGGCACCTATGGGTTGCATCCAGTGTTAGGCTGACTAACATAGTATTCATTTCAATGGGTTTACTCTTAGTAGGACTGATACTGGATGCAAGCTATGCATAGACTAGTTTGTTTGACTTTGGGAATCTGTATTCATGAAGAAGTTCCTCTGCATGTATATTGGACCAAATGAAAACTGTGAATGTGCAAGGTATATATGGCCAATGTAATTACAGTCATAGCTGGACAACTCTTCTGAATCTTCAGATTCTTTGATGTGCATTTTACTCCTAAAGTAAGATAACCAATACAATTGTGTGCTTACAGATTCACTTAATTAAATTGACAGCACCCATTCATACAAATGGCTCTGCCTTGGCTCCAGATTCAATGTGATTTGAGTTTTCATATCTCTGAACATATCTGTATTAATGACATAGTTGCCATCCTGTAGCTCATGGAATGCATCATCCAAGGAGTTAATTAGGCCATATTACCTTAGCTACTAATAATTTGAAGTAGCCAAGCAATGCAACTTGTAGGCCCTTGGTGGAGATCAAGTGACCTAAAAGCCAGTTGGAGCCCACTGGATCTCCATATCTAACCCCAGGCTATTCTTCTCATGCCCACCCACTCTTCCTTTCCCTACTCCTTCCATGGCTGCATTTCCTCCCAGAGACGGAAGAATCACTGGAGTTATGCCTCAGTCTGCTCTGTTCAGTCAAGCTGTCTGATACAATGGAGTACTGGGAAGGAAGGCGCATGGCTGCTGAATCTCTGTGGAGCTGCTCATGTAGAAAAGAGTGTTATTTCCATGGGCTGACAAGTGTGCTTCTGTGCTGAGCACTGAGAATGCAGACAGTAAAAGTATTTTTGTCTAACTTTGTGCCATGCATGTATAGTCTTAATTTAAACAACTCACATCTTAAACTCCAGTATGCACACATTTTCCACTGCTGTAATGAAATGACTTTAAAATAGCATCTTTAAATTCAATCAGTGCAGCATAGCTGAAAATTCCACAAGCTTTCTCTTGCAGTTCTTGGAAAATAGGATCATCACTTAAGCAGCAGTCAGGTATTTTTTCTGGAACTTGCATCCAATCACTCATCTCAGATGGATTATAGAGGATGGCAAAAAGAAATGCATAATGTGTTTTGAAGGCAAGTAACCTGAATGCCTGGGTTTTTCTTTTTTATTATTTCTCCAGGCTTCTGGCTCTTGACTGAATCTTTACAGTGTGTTTGTGTGTATATATATCTATATCTCTCTGTATTGATAGATATAGATACATTAACAATTGAAATTATGGAAAGTCTGTCCCAACATCATATGATAAAGATGCTGCTTCTGAGGCGAATGTTCTAAACACAATAAAAAAGCACCAAGGGTTAATAATGCATGGATTTTAAGGGGCTCCGTTTAGTTTCCTTTGGGTTTTATTTATTTTTGTTTTTGTTTTTATTATTTTTTCTTAATTTCTGTGTTCTGGCCACACCCAGGAGAACCGTCTGCTTTTGATTTCTCCCTTTACGGTTACATGGTAAATTTTCTTTCTCATTCTTCAGAGATGGAAACATTTTAAAAAACTCTGTACAATTATTATTTTTACACTGCTCATCCTGTTGCTTGTTATTTATTGCAGAATCTGAGGCCAGACTAAAAGGGTGATGGTTACTCGTTCTCTTCAGGGTTGTTGGACAGCTCCCTAAAGAAAATGGGGTGCCCCTGGGCTGCGAATTGTTCCAGGTTATAGGAGAGGTATCTTTATGAGCATTTAATACTGTCAGCAGTTACATAGGCTGCCTAATATTCTCAACATGGCATGAATCAAAGGCTAGTTCTATAAAAATAGCCATTTGAACTTCAAAACCAGAGATAAATTCAATTAAAAACAGGCTGGCAAGAATATTTATAGTGTTACAAAGCTTCCAAAATGATCCAGAGTTTCTACCTTCTTTGGTCTGTCCCCTTCTGTTATATAAGTGAACAGTTTTCACTCAGAACAGACTCAGCTTTATCTAATGTTGCTATCATATAAGATATGTTTGTTGAATATAAAATGGTTAATGATTTAGAGTTGGGTCTAAGACAGTGAGAATGGATGTGTACGTGTGTGAATGATGCAGAAGAGAGGGAGGGAGGGCAAGAGGCCCATCCACTTTGGACTCTAGAACCAGCCACTGCTGATAGGAAGGCCTCCTCCAGCACTTCTCCCCAGAAGTGGCATGGTCTTTGGGCCGAAAGGTACTCCCCACCCTTGATGTAGAACACAGTGACAGCAACCAAAGGATGTAACTCAGTGAGCAGTATCCCAAGCAATAAAACCATGCCTTATAATCCTCTGTGTAGAGAATGTTGGCTCTTTAATGGTATTACACCTGAAATAGGAAGTTCAAATGTCCTCTCCTCAGTTAGCAAAGCTTTTTAGATAAATGTCACTATCCTAGCATTCTAGTAGTTAAAGCAATGTCTAGCAGCTAGTACTTCCCTTCACTTGCCCCAGTAGGACAGAGTGTGGCTGAGGAAGCTCTAGAAAAAAAGGTGGTTTCCTTCTGAGAGGCATTGGGGGAAAGGGTCAACAGAAAAGGCTGCATTTGAAAAGAATATGGGAGAAACCATGAAAGAAATCATGGTTCCCGCAGTCCCCATCGTTCCTGTTCCCACTAGCGGTAGCATAGATTTAAAAATGATTGTAGCCCTTGGAGAGAGAAAGTTCCTTGAGAGCAGGAGAACTTAAGTGTACCCAGATGCAAAACACTTGCACAAACATTGTGGTCTTGAATATCTGTGTAAGACCATTCAAGAAGAAAGTGCTTAATTTTTTTCCTACAGAGGTGTTTTGTTTTGTTTTGTTTTGTTCTGTTCTGTTTTGTTTTGTTTTTTGGCTGGAGTATCCAGTGATCTAGATTGTCAACTAAAAAAAACTTTCTCCCATCTTTTGAATACACTTCCTATTATCGTCATCATTATTTCATCTCTGTACCGTCCCACAGCCAAAACTCTAGGCTGTTTCTGGTGAAGTATACAAATACAGGACAGCTTATGATAGCAACCCCACCTATACAGCAGAAAATGCAGAACTTATGAATCCCACATACAGATCCTAGCATGTTTTCATAACACCTTCAAGAACATTTTAAAATGATGACCTGTTTACTTCGGTAAGGCATGGTCTAGAAAAGTTTTAAGTAAGCAAACAAACGAACAAACAATTCTTCCTTGTTAAAAAAAATGCAGATCTCTGTCCTGGTACTATAAGTCCTTGGAGAATCTTTGCAGAAGAGATTTCACTTGAAAATTAGTAAAGGCTTAAATCTGCAACACATAATTTCTATGTAGTTCTACTCAGAATTCAATCCAATTGAGTTCAGTTCGCCTTATTCCTAGATAAGTGTATATGATTGCAGCCCTAACAAGATCTCCATTTTAGCATCAGTGGTTTCCATAATGCTTAGCATACACATTGTTCTCCCCACTTCTGTGGTGATAGTACTATCAAAGAATAATACTTCGCTGACCAATAGATAAATACAAATATATACATTCTGATGAATGTAGCAACTAATACTGAATCATTGTTGAAACTAATAGGAATAGTTCTCATCAATACCTAGATTGGAGAGCACTGGCTCTTGCCAGAGTTCTTCGTTTACTTAGTAAGAATTAGCTATAAATAAGTACATCCCTACAGTTGCTTGTTAGTCATTTAATTAATTTAGCTCTCTTAGCTTGGTCCTTGTGAAAGTGTTAGTCCTGTAAAGCAACATTTAACAATGGAAAATACTCTGTTGTGTTACTGGACCAATGAAGAGATAGATTAGGCAAAATATGATTAGGCCATCAAGTATATAAATATTTGGCTACCTTGTTATTCAGCCAGACCTGTCTGTAAGACAGATAGATAGAATCAAGAAACTGAACTGTTCAACTAGGTTTCTGCAGATCCACCTGTGGGCACTAAGAAGAAATTGTTCTCTGAATAAGAATAAGTCATCTCTTTTAAGTATAATTTTTATTTTTGTCCCCACATTTATTATTTGTTCAACTTTTTTGTATTAGTAACACCCAGAAACTTTGGTGAGCAAGTAAGAAGTCAGTTGTATAAAGTGTAAGCCTTTAGCTGTCAGGCAGTATAATGGCCACACCAGCACCACCTTTTTGTTGTTGCTTGGGGCTTAGGAACAACAAGCTATGAAATGATGGGGAGGAGGGAGAGCGAGCGAGCGAGCGAGCAAGCTTAATAGTGAGACCTGTGTTGCCAGTTGGGATAAAAGCGGCATTCCAGGTTTGAAATGGTTGAAAAGAGTACTGGCTTAGGGCAGTATATGTACCCAATGATGCATTTGATCTCCACCATTAGGAATATATAGTGTCTCCTTTATGCAAAGCCTCAGGTATGTCGACTGATAAAGATGAGGCCAAAATGTACCACAGAGGACATGACCCAGCATTAAAATGTAGGAATTTCTAGTACCACACCCCCTTTCTTGTAGAGGCTTGTTCAAAGCACCTGCCTGTGTGTCTCTTTGCCATATAAAGGCAACTGCTGAGAGTGCTTGAAAAAGTATGCATTGGAATGGTCTTGTATGGCAAGATTTCTGTCATAGGTTTAACAAATATTGTTTCATCAGACTAGGAGCTAGTTTCCTTTTCAAATTTTATTTCGAGTAACTGTGCTTTTTTGGTCTGGCCTCAATTGCTTTATGTTTATTATTATTATTATTTTAAATCTGATTACAACTTCTTTAAAAAAATAAATATCTTTCATGAGACATGCATGAACCAAAATGTGACTCTAGGAGAGTATTGCTAAGTTGTGCTGATGTCAATTTCATACTGTGATATTTTTTTTCTCTATTTATCTAGATATCAGTATTTCAATATATAACGATGTGCATGTTTTCCCCCCTTCTCCCGCTGCATGCAGGGATTCGGGTTCGTAACTTTCGAGAATAGTGCTGATGCAGACAGGGCCAGGGAGAAATTACACGGCACCGTGGTAGAGGGCCGTAAAATCGAGGTGCATGTCTTCAGTAATTCAATTTCTTCTTTATATTTATTCTTTTGTTTCTTTTTTGTGTCTTGCCTCACTTATTTCACATTTGGATACCTGTCTTGTGTGTGAGTGTGTGTGTGTTTGTGTCTCTGTGTTTTTCACTCCCCACCCCCTGCACTGAGGTGTATAAAAATAACACCCCCACTCAAATATATATATATTTGTTTTGTTATTTTAGGTATTTTCTCTTTTTTCCCTTTTTCTTAAGTTGGTTTCCAATCCCCTCCAAACATTTGCCCTTCTGCTCCCTTGCTTTTTGTTTGCTTCAGTTTATAAGGCTCCGACTTTCTTTTGCTAAACCTGATCAAAACTAATGAAAAAAAGCACTCTCCAACTTGTTAACTTGGTGTCTAACAACAAAAAAGAGGGGCAGATAGTATCTGTCCTTTCCTCAGAGGCCAGTTCTCCTCCATATGAAAGTGAAATTATATTACTAGTGGGAAGGGATGGAGAGAGAAGGAAGAAGCTTATGTGAAGTGTTAAAGCAACTTCCTTGATACGATTTCAGTAAAGAAATGTGCACTCAAAATCAGCTCTTGCATGTGAGTATAGAGTCTGATAAGGGTGAGTACCTGATGTTACCTAAGTGGGAGATAACTGCTTAGTGATTAATCTTCTGTTCCCTCATATTGAAGGCTAACTGGCCCCTTTTCCTTCTCCCACTCTTTTTAAGGAAAAAAAAGTACTAAATATAAAGGGGGAAACTTAAAAGCCGCAGTTTTGAGTAAGATGTCTGCATATTTTGCTTTTTTATTTTGTTTTTTGTTTTGTTTTTGTTGTTTTATTTCCCTTTTCAATGGTTTAGTGTTTAGGGCCCTTCACTTGACTCACTCTTTCCATGGTAACTATACACAATGCTGGCGATGGTACGAGTTGGCGGTAAGTGAAACCAAAGTGCTAGAGGAGAAGCTTATTTCTTTTGTTAATGCAAAACAAAATTAAGAAAGAAAAAATCCATCTGCCATTTCACATTAACACTACAAAATGTGATCTGACTTGTTGTCCCCCCCCATTCCTTTTTCCCTTTTCACCCCACTTTTAATTTCAATGCTGTTGAGTTATGCCGCCTGGACTTTGGATGTACATAGTGTTTTGTATAAGTCTGAGCTGTTTGATTACTGACTTCCTGGTTATTTCCCTTGCACATCTTACTCAGAGTTACTGAACTCCAGTTTGGCTGGTTATATTAATGCACTCATATTCTTCTCCCCCACCCCCAGCTATTCCTCTCTCTGGACCTGTGATTGTTCTCTCTTTCTCCTTTTTCCCCTTGCCATTTTTTTTCTTCACTCTTTTAAATGCAGCTGTTGGTCTCTCTTTGCTGACTGGTGGTTTCTGATTGGTTTTGGCCATTTTTCTGTTAAGTGCTTGTATTGCACTCTGCTGTAGCAGCTGATTTCAGGCACTCGCTCCATCTTAATGATTGTCTGTGAGACTTCTCCTCCCTTTTCCCCTCCCTTGCCCCATTAATCAGATGTTGTTGTTGATGTTGTTGTTGTTGTTGTTTCTTTTATATGTGTTTTAACAGCATGCTCTCAGTCTCATCGTTGTTATTTCCCATTCTTTCTTTTAAAATGTGTAACTTGTAAATTGTTTGTGGGGGGCTAAAACTAGAGTAATGAAATTTCAGGCTCTCTTCTTCCTTGCCAAGCTCACTTTTCTACTAAATGTCAAAGGGCATCTAAAAGTTTTCTTACATTCACTTGGCCTTGAAATTGGCATTGTGGCTTGTTCTTCTGTTATGATCTAGGATTTAGAACATCACTTGATTCTAGTGCAGCCTTCACCCTATTTGCAAGAGCTCAGAGGCTGATACTGGGCTACAGTAATTTGGCTTTGCCCACCCTTTCCATGTTCTACTAGCACCATCTCTGCTATAACACTTGTTTGCTGCAGTGCTTATTATGCTTGGGGCCATGACGAGTTCAGTAATGAGGGTGGAGGGCTCTAGGAATCAGGAGATGCCTTGCAAATTTCATAAGGTTATTTGTTTATTTGCCTTCTCGGAAGTAAGCAATTGATCTGTCTATTATGCAGGATATCCTAAAGCTTGGGATGCAGGCCAACTAATTTTCCTTTGGAACCCAAAGTCTTTTCATAGTAAAGGGAATTCATCCAAGGCACCTGGGATCCAAGCTCTCTTTTGGCCCAAACAGTTTTGTTCTCTGTAATATTAGTAAGCTATTAAAGTTCAACGAGAGGCTTCTAAAAGAAGAGACAAGGTTGTTTTTGTTCACTGCTTCATACCAGTCAAACTGGGCATGGAGAAAACAGCAATGGGGAAGATTTTGCCCTTTGGATCAGTGAGCATCAAATACTCAGTTCATTTAAAGCTAGTAGGGATGCCTGAGAAAATCTACTCTTTTTGGCTGTTTTTACTGCATAATTAAATGCCAGAATTAGATGTTTACTTTTTTAAATATTTAATTTAATGACAACTTGTAAAATTAAATTAAATGTGTTGCGTTTTTAAACAAGCTTTTAAAAAATCAACCACGTTTCTACCATTTTCTAAAGTCTTGTGTTTCCTTCCCTCTCCTCCCTTTCCCCTATTTTACTTTTAGGTTAATAATGCCACTGCACGAGTGATGACTAATAAGAAGATGGTAACACCATATGCAAATGGTAAGAGGAAATGCTAATAATGAATGAAGGATATATGGGAGAAGAACTGAATAGAGGTTAAGTTCTTTCTCTCTAAATTTTCAGTATAACAGAAAGATATGTGATCAAAGAATCTTTCATGCCTTTTGTATATAAACACTGAAGTAATGTACCTATTCCTTTTTTCAAACACCAGTAGAGTACTTAGGAGCTACTATCTAATTATGTTGGAAAGTGCTACAAAAATGAAAAGTTACTTGTTAAATGTGGTTTAACAAGTTTAGAAAATAAAATAGTAAGTTTGACCAATAATCCCTGATAGGCATACAGGTCTGTATTTACTTCTAAATTAGACTTTATCTCCTTCCCTCAGGCAAATGCCTTCCAAAGCATCTTGGTGGAAAATCTTAGAATTCAGAGATGGAGGGGGTGAAATGTAGTCCCCACACTACATCAGGGGTTATGAAACCTAATAAAAGATGAATTGTACCTGCTGACTGGCATTTTACATGATCAAACAGTGGCTTCCTTTCATTCCCAGCATATACTGGGTGTCATTTCACTGATTACTCAGGCATGTGGTGTCATAACCTGGTTTGCTGTAATGCCCATTAAATATGATATAATATGAGAATATAATATAATTGTTGCTGATTTAGAAGTCCACATCACAGCAGTTAATGCAAAAGAACTGATAAGTGGCTAAACAAAACTGAAAGCAGGAAAAGTGACTTCTTAAAAGGGAGCAGAACTGAGAAGCTCTTATTTATGTAGAAATTCTAAAAATTGAAATGCAATAGTGTATAAATGCAGAGAGAACATAGGAAAAGCCATGCTGGCTCAAACCATCAGTCTGTCTAGGCCAGCATGTATACATCACGTACACACGATGACAAACCAACTGGCCACAGAATCACTCAAGCAGGCTGGTTGCAGGACCTCAGCCCACCCAAGCTCCTCAGCAGCTGGTATATGCAAGCATGTGCCACCTCTAGTAAAGGAGTTAGTACTCAGCCAGCCAGGCTAGTAGCTACTGATAGCCTCCTCCCTCATGAATCTGTCCAGGCCACTTTTAAACCCCTCCAGATTGGCAGCCATTACTACTTGCTGTGGCAGCAAATTCTATACTTTAACTACTGTATATGTTGTATGAAGAAATACTTCCATTTATCTCTCCTAAATCTCCCACCAATCAACTTCATGGAATGACCCTGAATTGAGTGTCATGAGAGAGGAAGAAAAGTCTTTCCTTCTTTACACCATATATTATTTTAAACACTTCTCTCATTTCTCCTGTCACTTTTTTCTAAGCTAAACAGCCCCAGTTGTTGTAGTCACTCCTCACAGGGGAGCTGCTTCAGCCTCCTGATCATTTAGATTGCCTTTCTCTGTACTTTTTCCAATTCAACAATGTCCTTTTTCAGATAAGGTGACCAGAACTGAATACAATATTCTAAGTGTGATCATTTGTATATGGGGAGCAAAATCTTGGCAGTTCTATTTTCTATCTATTTCTAATTATGCCTAGCATGGAGTTTGCCTTTTTCACAGCAGCTGTGAAATGGGCCAACATTTTTATCAAGTTGTCCATCACTACTTCAAGATCCCTTGCTTGCTCTTCCACCTCCAGCTCAGATCCTATCAGCCTATACTTAAAGTTGGGATTTTTTGCCCCAGAGGGACTTGCTGTTTATCAATTTTAGTTAAATAATATGATCTTTTAAGTCTATGCTGTCCAATTCACTGGGGTTTGAATGAGGAAGATGATTATGTTTACATATTCTTGCATGGAGCCCTTTGCCGTATCAGCTTTCTTTTGTGACAGCACAGTGAGTTATTGTTCCAAAAATGTGTTATATATTACCAAACATCATCTCAGCACAGTAGTGGAATTACAAGGGCACGTCTGTATGTGCATATCCATGTTGGTAACTTACCATAGATAGTTCAAGAAAGGAAAATCTCAGAAGTGTAAGTAATTTTATCATGCAATTTGGAAAACAATTCTTGTAAAATCTAAAATAAAGTAAAATTTGATGAAAATGTGCCCCTTTGTGCTTCAGTAGTGCATTCTCAGTCATATTAAGCTTTTCTAATTCAGGGATGAGGGAGAGGAGGAGAATGCTTCTGCATCTGTGAATTTAACTATATATAATCTATATAGAAACAAGTCAAGTTTCCATATTGCATCACACCAAAAATTTAGAACCCAAGGTAGGGCTCTGGAGATGGAGAGGAAGAGCTGGCTCAATTATTATTGGTCTTCAGTAAGTTCTTTTGAAAAAGGAAATGAGATACATTTTTCCTATATAAGATAATGGCTGCCATTTGTTCATATAGGGGAAACTAAACTGGGGAGCCTACCCACATCCTCTTTACAGCAGGCCTTTACCCACATGCACTACAAGTAGTAACATCTGAAATGCTATTAACCTGTGCCCCCCCCCCATGCTATTAGCCTATCTCCCCCATACCGTCTGGCTAATTTGTTTTGGAGCCTAATATTACTTTACTGGCAGAGTTCACCTGATCGCTGTAGCCCACTATAACTAACGGCATGTACCAATGTGTGCAAGGTGACTTTGGAATATTCAGCTGCAACTGTGGCTTGCTATGTCCTGTGAACCTGAAGAGGGTCTGTTATTAACAAACCAAGGTATGGGTAGTTTGTTAATTATATCAGCAATTCACCCCTTCTGGGTTTACAAGCATTATAGCTTGAATAATCAAAATTACTCCTAGGCCCTGTGGGTTAATTAATATGACTGAGCTAGATCCTTTAACTGCTTAGCCTAGTATTTTCTACAGAAATTGGCAGTGCTTTTCTAAGATCTCAGAGGTTTTCCTACTTGTTGCCTGCTAAGATTCTCTTCATCAGTAATGCCACGGATGAGGGATGCAGCATGTGTCATATGACTTCTCCCCACAATTATCGCCTTGCATGGAATTCCCAGTATTGTCCACTAGATGTTTGGCCAAAGACTTTCTTGGCACTACTAGGTAGCAGAGGTGAATGGGGTAAAACCTGAAATGTAAATGTCCTCTATCAATGAGCTATGGCTTTTCAAGGATGGCAGTAAGAAACATGTGACTTACTGAAGTGCTATTCTCTCTACCTTTGGTAGTCCTGCAAAGCTCACCTAGTTTAGTATTCCTTCTAATAGCTGACTAAATACCCATTTTTTTCTATGCACATCACAGCATAGACAGATCTGATCCATCAGTTTACATTCAACAGGAACATATGTGTTAGTAAGCAGCCAATTCATTTCTGTTATTTTCTGGAATGTATCGATGATGTTCTGTTTCCTATTGGGCAAATATTTTGAAATGCTACTTCAAATATATATTTAAATTAACTTAAAATTTAGAAGAAACTAGTGAAGATGAAGCAAAGGAAAGGGAATGTAAAAACATATGCATAAATTAAACCATATTTGTGGAATATGATAATTACATTCTGGATTACATTCCAGTTTTTAGGAAAAAAGTCACCACTGTAACTGGTCCACTTGAAAGATAAAAGCAGAGGTTTGTTAGGACCAGCCTTTTCATATCTGATCAATGAAGATCTCCTTTTCTTGATAACAGAATTGATAGGAAGTAGGGCATCCCCTGTTTAGCATAAGGAATTACTGTATTCAGGTTCAGAAACCTGAATAGGCCTAATGATCAACTTGAAGTATAGCAGTAGTGATACAATGCCAATAGTGTAATGGCTGCCCCCATTTGTACTGACCCTTTTCAGGCAATCTCATGGTTGCTGTGTATACACTAAATGTCTGATAATTGAGTATGCTTGTGTATTGTCAGTGAGTCTCTTGAAAAGGCTTTCCCCTTTTCTGCTTCAGTTCATTCCAAATGCACACCAGTGCACTCACATTCATGACTTCGCCCAAAGATGTGTTCAAAGATACCAAGCTCTAATTTCAAAACAGTTTCTGCATCTTCATTGCAATACAGTTTGTAGTAATAGGCTTAGACTAGGCTTCAAATGTCTATGGCCTTTAGATAAAAGAAGGGTGAATGTACTGTAGGGCACCATACCCATATTGTAGAATATAATTAGCACAGCATTCTTTGGTGGGTATACCCAACCAAACAAGGGAACAATAATAAACAAGGGAATAAATGCTGGAAACCACATTGCACATAATTGCATGTGCTTTGACTGGTTCGATCTTGGTGCTCATCTTCTTTTCTTTTCTTTTCTTTTCTTTTCTTTTCTTTTCTTTTCTTTTCTTTTCTTTCTCAGGTTGGAAGCTGAGCCCTGTGGTTGGAGCAGTGTATGGCCCTGAATTATATGCAGGTAGAACTCAAAATCAGTCCTTCTGTTTCTGCCAATTGACTGCAGTGGTGTTTGTTTGTGTTCTCAATCTGTTGTTTCTTTATAACCTTTGTACATTTTTTATTCTTTTTAAAACTAAATTAGCATCCAGTTTTCAAGCAGATGTCTCGCTGGGCAATGACGCTGCAGTGCCCCTGTCAGGAAGGGGGGGTATTAACACTTACATTCCTTTAATCAGTAAGTAGCCCCTATTGGCCCCTGTATTGTTACTGTGCTTGAGTAAACAGTGATCTGTTAGCCCTCTTCTTTTCAGTCTGTATAATATGTACTTGAAAGAATAGGCCTTGTCAGAAAGAGGTGCCACTTCTTTGGACAGTGGCCATGACCCTTTCCATTTTGCAATGCAACTGCGTGCCTGTTTGTGGCTGGGGCTGCAAATCCATAAGGGAGGATGTGTATATGGAAAGCCTGATTTCCCTGGCTTTCGTTCTGAAGAAATGAAGTAGGCCACATTCCAAAGTACATATTATTCAAGCTACTAAACTGCGAGTCCACTGCAGGCCCCCTTGTGGCATGCGCCTGGAAGCACCTTGGGTTGGATTTGTGCCTTGTGACTGACTGGCGCCTTCTGGGTATCCATTTATTGCATTGTGTTCTCAGCTTCCTTTTGAGGTTTTGACATTGTTTTGCCCTGAGCCAGTTTACTCCAGCATGAAATGTAATAAAACAGGGCCCAATATATATGGAACCACTTAATGGTCACCTTTGCCAGAAGGTGGGCTCTTGGTAAACTGGCACTTTATGATTAATTTTGGCTACCTTTGATTGGATTTTTACAACCCTTCTGTGTTTAAATTAAATGTGGTTGGAAGGACTGGGTGGGAAGGACACACACACACACACACACACACACACACACACACCTTTCACCCTGTTGTCAACTCGCCAGTTTAAGGGGCTTGCGATGAAGCATTTTCAGTGCCCCCATCCCAAGTATATGGAAGAGTCACCTGCCTGTATTCGTAACAACTCTCTGTGCTTCTCGGACTCTTTCTAACCAGACTGCATGGCATTATCAAAATGGGGTGGAGGAAGAGGGAAACAGTTTTTGCAGTTTGTGATGAATGAGGCATGACACAGCATTAATCCCTTGCATGCCAGGTCTCTCTGCAACCCTGCCTTCCCTTCAGGGCCATGGTGTAGCAAGAGGTATGTGATGTCATCAGGGCTCTAAGCATGCTCCTTTGCAGGACAGATGCGGAACGTTCCACAGCTCTGGAGTTGCATATCGTTCTAGTCAAAGATGGTTGCTATTAACTCAGCAGATGTAGTGATCTTTCTCATATTTTTCCCCATCCATCTGTCTGTCTTCACAGTTCCTGGCTTCCCTTACCCAACTGCAGCCACCACAGCAGCCGCATTCAGGGGAGCCCATCTGAGGGGTCGAGGACGGACAGTCTATGGCGCAGTGCGAGCAGTACCTCCAGCAGCCATCCCAGCTTACCCAGGGTAAGGGTTGTAAACCAACCAACAGTGTTTTTCAGAACCTGAAAGTTAGCTGGTTCACTGAGAATAAGAATTAGAGACATGATGGATGGTGAGAGTCAGGATATGCCAACACCAAAACACTCTGCACCCAGTCACACCTGGCAATTTAAAATCTTACATTTGTGACTAAAACATCTTTTCATTATCATGGTGACTTGAAAAGCAGCTGTATAAATTCAGTACTAATTCCTCAAGCACACAGTAGCAGTTTGACAGCTTGGAAGAAATCTGGCCTTGGGAAATAGTATTACTATAAAGAGAGTAACAAAAAGGGTGTAGAGTCTGGAGTGAGGCAGCTTCTGTTCTCTGAAGTCCAGTTTTGTTGAGATACCCAGAAGTGGCAAACATTGCTTGTTAGCTTCATTGCACGCTTCCTGGGAATAGGACATGGCAGAGACAGTTACCCACAATGGATTTGCTTTCCTGATTAGAGACATTTTGAGAAGGGTTTTTTTTTTTTTTAATCTGTCAAATCTGTTTTACAAGTAAGGTACCTGAAGGGCAGGAAAGTGGAAATGCAGTTTTGAAAAAGCAAAACAAATGATGACATCACACTGAATTAATAAAGAATGTTTTATTGTTTGGTCTTGCTTCCTTAGCTGTAGTTCCATATTCTGGAAATGCCTGTAGCAGCAACCTGCTCTATTGTTATTTCAAAGGTATAGATATTCAAATGCTTTTTAGAATGCAGAGAAGTTTTTGTTCTAGGATTGCACTTTGTATATGAAGATGCTCCTTATTTTGTGCTGCTGCCTCCAAGCATCTTTCTCAGATACAAATCCTTCTCAGAAGAAACCTGAGCAGGAAAGAAATCATATGGAGAGAGCAAGCTGGATTCTTAATTCCATTTTTTCTAACTTAAGAGCAACCATACATATGCCAGACTATCTATTGCTTTGCTGATATCTATGTTGTAAGCCGCCCCGAGGCTTCGGCGAATGGGGCGGCATAAAAATGTTTTAATAAATAAATAAATAAATAAAATGTACAAATGCTCTGGCTCATGATAGTTATCTTAATGGGATTAGATTGTCATGCCCAGAATTTAAAACTGGGAGCAATCTGCGGTTGCCAGGTGTCCTTTTCTTTTATAACATAAAGTTGTAGATGCATCCTTTAGGGTTCCATGCTATAAAGTAGTAAGTTATGTGTGGGGAACCCTTCTTGATCCCTGAAGAGGGAGAATTGCTATACAAGTCCAGTGAAATTGCTTTCATAGATTAACAGCATGGTGCCCCTAGGTGTTAATACTTAGAAACAGAAAATGAGGTGTAGAAATATAATTTTGTTGTTGTCATCCCTGATAGTAACGGCTAGAATATTCCTAGCTAAGAAGCTAGTCCTAATAGTACAATGGGAGACTATGCTTTGGGATGCCAGTAAGATTTAAACTGAGTATTCAAATCAAGTGCAGCTTGATGGTTTCCACTAAAAAGTGTGTGTGGGGGCGGGGGGGAGAGGCTCTCAGGAGGATATACATTCAAATAATGTTAATTTGCCATTGCTTGTGGGACAACAGCAGTAAACAATTTGCTCCCTCAAACTGTGCAAGCCACTTTTCTAAAATTGACTAGTAACTCACTTTCTGTCATAGCTGGAATCAGAAGACACTTGCAGTAGCTTTGCTCCATTGTGCCATGGAGATCAGAATATTTTAGTGGCATAATTTAGCTCAATATCCATTAAGAAGTAAAAAGCTTTGCAAATGCATTGAATAAGCTTCATTTTCTAGAGGGCATAAACATTTGTTGTTATGTAAAAATTACCATCCTTAGGCTTAGACTTTTAAAATAAATGATCATAAGAATGGGATGATTTTCTCCAGTTGATAAATTGTTGCAAAGGAGATAGTCATATAGGCTGAACTGTGATAGAAGATACTTAACCCAGAGGATGAGAATCTCTAAAGCTCACTGTTACAAGATGTCACTGAAATACTTGATCCTGTATTCTGCTAATAAGGTAGAGCTGAGATACCCAAACCAATAGGCCCCTTAATCCTCTTGCTTCCACAACCCATTTTTAGAGTTGCTATACTGCCTACCTCTCCCTGCTAAATTAATGTTACTTTCCCAGCAAGAAAGTGTCATCAGGTCTATCATTATCAACTGGTTTTTTTCTGGATCAAACGTTGAGTGCAGCTTTGTCACTAGGAAGTGGAGTGTGATCGCTATGAACCTGGATACCACCTGATCACATAATGCTAGCTTACATCACTGTAGCACCCTCATGATTATAAGCAGACTTATAGCCAAGCTATACTGGCCTTGTTGTTTGTAACTTCCTATAGGTGGGTGTGCTCTGATCAGAGTGGGAGATACTTGGCATCATTTTGCACTCCAGTTGGGAAAAAAATACACGTAATACTGCCTCCTTCCTCCTAGCCTGTGATAACGTTAACTGGTAAGCTAAATACATGCACACAAGGATCTCATATTTGGGGAACTAATGCTTTTTAATACGAGTGATTTAGCATTTGGCTATCCAGGGAACAAAGTAGGAGAAAGCTCTGCAATGCTAAAGCATGCATTCATAACTAGGGCTGTGGCAAACTTTCTTTTCCTTCCTTGTCCTTCCCTGGTCCTCTGCCCTACCAAAGCAAAGTGCTTTACACTATTAAATGTTCACTAAGTGTTGGGGCTTCCAGGTTCCCAGTCCTTTTGCTTCTGGAAGAAACTAATTAGTGGCTGTTACACTCAAAAGGAAGCTGTGGAATGTGTCGTTACTATCAGGGATCCACCTCACTTGACTTTTCAGTTCTTGGACCTTGGATCAAATTGCCTAACCCTTTTAGCTCATCATCTCTGCTTGTGAAAGCAATGCATTGTGGGTATTTCTTTTTGGTTACATTTATCTGTGCTTACCTTGATCAGAATTGATTGATTTGGGTTTTTTCCACACTGAGGTGTTGCATCAGTACTTTTGAGGTGCTGAATAATAATACTTTGCATGCTTGTGTGATTAGCCGAATCCTATCGCATGTCTAATGTACAGGATATAAAACAGGTGATGTATGGATATCAGATGATTGGACAAGGCTACAAGATGCATAATTATACACAATTCTTGGTGTGTTTCTGACCTAGGTGGATTCCAGCATTTGATGTTTGTTCTACTTGAAGTCCATTACATGAAGCCACTATGTCCATGTGTTTAGGGGGTTAACTGAGACCTTTCCAGGTTAGCAGCTAGAGTCAAGCTTTCTACAGTCACATTTCTCAAAGGCATCAGTTCTTCTTTTTTTTTTTTTAACAGCAACATTCTATTATACAATATGAAGGTTATTCTCTCCCCATCCCTCCTCTGCATACTGTCTCCCCTTCTGCCCTGCCCACCTGCATGCCATGGAAGATGACATGGAGCTGTCTAGCGTGCGTGCGCACACACAATCTCTTGCTGATTTGCTCCTGCCCGAAAGCCCAGGTTATGGATTCATACATCACCTGCCTGTGTAAAATGCATGTGCATGCTGCCGTCCTCAATAACCGGAATGTGTTTTCTGTTCTTTTTGTTTTGTTTTTTGTTTTGTTTTTGTGTGGATTTTCTGCAGTGTGGTTTACCAGGACGGATTTTACGGTGCTGACCTCTATGTAAGTACACACACTGGAGCCTTCTCATCCCCAATCCTTGACAAACCAGCCTTTTTTTTAGTTGATGTTTCTGGTTTTGTTTTGTGTTTTCAAATATGATTTACTTTTAATTTTCTTCTTTGTGATATATACATTTATATATTTCAGAATGCAAGCATGTTTCTCTGTCATTGCACTTGCCCCTGGGTGCAAGATCTGAACCTTTGGGTCTCCTGGCCATTGCCAGGGTTAATTTACTGTGTGTCTTTCTCATATAAGATATAGTCTCCTAATAATAAAACTGAGAAATGATTTAACATATTAAAATGTCCATAAATGCATCTAGCATAATTTGGATAAAAAACATCAGGGTTGGTTTAGCCTCAACTCTTGCCTTTCTTTCACCTTTTCTCATTCCCCTCTTGGGACCTTTTGAAGGCTTGATTTATGTAGGGTGCTATACCCTACAGGAACTCAAGGTTCTTAAAAATACATGCATATGAATGCTAGTCCTCTTGGAATATTACCAGTTTACCCTTAAATTTCAGGGCAAAATATCCTTAGGAAAACATCTTGCCACTACATTAAGGAATGCACACTTAATGTACACTTTTTTCTCTCTCTTACTTGATTTTCTGTAGTTCTCCTGAATGAAAGCATTAGTCAAAAAGTAGTCAATCTTGTATACCTTTTGAACTACTTATTGACCATAGGTAGTCGTGCCTCACCATATCACTTTATGAGCCAATTCAATATAGTCAGTTCTTTACACTTGAATCTGAATATATGCATTAATGGTTGCAATCCTGTGCATGTTTAGACAGATAAAGTCCATCCCCCAGCATGCCCCAGCCAACATAGAAATGTTTTAACTAGCTCTACTTGAAGTGGACATTTTAAAATCCTCCCACACAGTATATACCAGCTGGCAATAAAGCCATACACTGTAATATTGCATAGTTAGCAGTATTGGGCATGGTGGTGCTGGATGGTGCAGCTTTGACACAGTGGAAACATAATGATTATATTATGTTATAGTTAGGACAGATGGACTTAGTATTTCTACTCCTGGAGTAAATAGTCTTATTTTAAAACACCTTATAATTAAGATTCATTTACAGGCAGTAGATGGGCAAACTTCAGTTGCTGCTATTCTTTCACTGCTCTTCAAAAAGTCTCTGTGTTCCTAAAGGGACGTTTTCCCTGCACAGACTAACTATATCAAGTGTGCGTCATTCTTAGTCAACACAGAAAATCTCGTGATGGTTATAGTGGAACTTATTGCAAGAAGCATGTATTTCTGGATCTTGTATATAAACCTTTTCCTATCTTGACCAGATTCTGGTACATAATTTGTGTAGAAATATAAAAGAATGATGCTGGGTTACTTCCCTTTCCCTCAGCACTCCTAAATTATTCTTGTACAGAGAAGACAGCTGGATACCAGTCATGCAGTGAGGGGACAAGTGAATAGATGGCATCCTTTGCTTAACATGATATTTCATACAACTAGGGATGCGAATGACAAGAAAGACAGTCAGGTGCAATTTCCCCACTCTTCTTGGAAGCTCCTCCTTTAACAAAAAGGAGTTGCTTTGTGGCAGGTAGCAATAGATTCATTGCACAATAACTTTGGTATTTGAATATATATAAACCCTAAAATGGCATTGATTTTTTTTGTTATAAATGATTTAGGTATTCTTCTTTTAGGGTTTGTGGGAAGAGAACAAGGGTATAGTAAATGAAGTCTGTCATAGTAGATTCACTCAGCTTTGCCCGCTGAACTGAAATGTATAACTACATCTCAGTCAGAACTGCTAAGCAACCTGCTTTTTGGTGTTTTAATTGGCATGAATCAAATGGGTGCTGTTTCTATGTAACCACTTAGCTATTTATTTTCCTTCCTCCATGGGTAAATCAGCATTGTACGGGGAATAACGAAGACATTAACCTTGGGGAGCTGTGATAGAAAAGAAGGGAAGAAAGCCAGGTGCAAAAATCTTCCTGATGAAGCTTATTTGGTGACAACAAATTGAAGTAATGTGTAAAGGGATTAGTACAAAGCTAGGAAGAGCAAATAGAGAGAACTGGTCTGAAGCTCTGTTCATCCATTTTGCTTTCCTTCCTCCTTTTTCTCATTTTCCTTCTTTTCTCTGGGGCAATCCTTCTTGCCTAACTATGTTATTTTCATGATAAAGCTATCCCACTCTGGCATTTAAAAAAATCAGGTAATCAGTCCCAGGTGCCCAGGGGTGTATATGGAAAGTAACAGCTTTCTAAGCACAGTTTCCAGTAGTTTGGGTTTTCTTCACAAAGAGAGAGCAGCTGTCTTAAAAGTCCAAACCTATCTAGGAAAAGCGTGCTTGCATCCTCTGGAAAGAAAAGGCTGGTAAGCCCTTTAGGGGGCTTTTTGTGTGACTGTTTTCTTCCACAGCTGTGTTTTTGAATTGCTCTTCCTGTGTTCTGTTATAGAATAGTCTTACAGGAACCAATCATTAGCGCTAAAATACCTCAGGTAGGAGTGCCAGTGTGACCTGCCAACCAATCAGATTGTGGATTGCAGTGAAAAAAACAAACAAACCCTTGAATTAATACTAACCGTTCCAGTGCCGAATTAGAGAGGGGAACAGAGTCTTTAAAAAGAAAAAAAGGCCAGCATACATTTGTGAGCATGTGATCAAAACTCCTATATATCTCAGTGCTGCACAAGTACCACTTCCAAAAGAAATAGGATGCTGCAGGAGGCAAGCAGCCAGGCAAACATTTTGTATTGTTAGCATATACATGACTAGAACAGTAGAAATGCACACTTTTTTTCTTGCTCCTTATTCATACTTTCTGCTGAGCTCAATTGCCAGCTCTCTTGTAAGATAATTTATTTGCAGTCCATTCTGACTTTTTAATCATCTGTTACATGGAAGTTTGGGGATGAACACATTAATTGTACAGGTTAAAAAGACCCACCAGAATCATTGGCATATTTACTGGTTTCTTGAGCATGTCAGCAGTAGAAATGGTATTCTGTTAATGCCATAGCAGCAGATTCGTAGTGTGGAATTCCAGCAGTGTCCTTCACTGCTTGCCCTGCATGGTTGCCTCTAGTTAACTTAGTTTCACACATGTACACTGTGTTGCAGGGAATTTTTGTAAAACTTCCAAAACTGTTCTCATAAATTTTAATGCATTTCTTGAACCTTATAAAAACACACAAATGAGACTAAGACCCTCAGGAAAATTAAAATGCTTTGTCTGAACATGGTTTAAACTACTTCTCAAAGAACCTTTTTTTTTTTTTTTTTTGGCTGTGTGAGTAATCCCAATTGTCCCTGGTTACATCCTGACAGATCACAGATACGGTCAGTGATGCAATTGTTTCAATTGCATTGTATTTTCCCCACCCTGGTTTGCTTCAGTCATAGGAATTGCTCTTGTCTTATAGACAGAGAACTCTTCCTGTTTACATATTACTAATGGTGCTCCAGACTTTCTGCATTTTTAAGTAAACCAACCCAGTTTACATTTCCCAAAGAAATACATTGGTACCTCGGTTCACGAATGCCTCAGTTCACGACCAAATCAGGTTGCAAACAAAAATTGCATAAAAATTTTGACTCAGGTCGAGAACTTTGCATTGGGTGGTGACTGTGATCGTGGCCATCTCTCCCGCCCCCGAGTGGGGAGATGACTGCAATCGGGCTGGGGGGGAGATGGCCGAGATTGTGCCCATCTTTCCTTCATGAGCGCGCCTGTGATTGTCTCTCCCCCCCCCCCCCCCAATGTGCTCGTGTTCGCGCCCGTCTCTTCACCCCCAGCGTGCCCGGATGATGGGTGCGTGCAGGGATGATGGGCGATCGTGGTCATTCTGGGCGGGGGGGAGATGGCCGCGCTACTGCTGGGGGTGAGGGGTGAGGAGATGGCCAAGATCTTTGTTGTTCTTTGTCACTTTGCTTCACATTTTTCTGATTAAAAAAAAATGGTTACAGAATGGATTAACCTTATTTACACTGAACCTTATGGGGAAATTTAACTTGGCTCATAACCAATTTGGGTCACAACCAGAGTCCTGGAATGGATTAAGTTCGTGAGCCAAGGTACCACTGTATATGGAATGCATTTAATTTTCACGTCTCTCTAAATTTTGCAACACAGTTTTTAGCTAACCCCTTCTCCAGTGAGTATAGAAGTGCTCATTATAAGGTACAATATCTATTTAAAAATGAATCCAAATACATACTTTGTTTTTCAAAATAACGGACATTGTTGTGCAGTAATCACAGATTGATGTGAAAATGGTAGAGTGGATATATGACTAAAAAACACATGCAAAACTGAATTGGACAGGCAGTAAAATTGATCCATTCATTCTTACATATTTGCCACATGAGCACATGCTCTGTGAAGGTCAGTACTGCAGACATGGAGAAAGAAATGTATTATGCTGACCTTTGACGTTGGAATGGGCCTAGTATGGCTGTTAGTATGAAGTACACAGGAAACTTCCAGCAGATGGCGCTCAAGTGTGCCTAATTTTTCAAGCATTGAGAGAGAGACAGAGAGAGGAAATCTTATTCTTCTTCAAGTTGATTGGATAACTGTTCCCTAGCTTGTGCGTGTTCCCTACATTGTTGGAAATAAAAGGTGTACAAAACAGCTCTGGAGCCATGCATGATTTAAGCTAGTTAGGCCTGAGCTTGAATTGTGCAAGAACGTTCATTTTAATTTTAATAAATTGTGTGTGTATGTATTATATGTTAACCTTGATCCTCATATTTATATTAGGTGGATCGGCATTGTAAAAGTTCCAGTGTGAATACTGAAGATTTTTCCATAACTAGCATTTCTCTCTACTTCTGTGGTTAAGAAGAGTTAAATATTTGTAGGACAAAACTATAACCTTATTCAGAAACCTCCCTTAGTAGCTTCAGCAGCAACTGAGAACTTGCTTTTGCTCAACACAGGAATGTGAACATTCTTGTTAATCCTTTTTCTTATCAAAAAGATGCTGAAACTACAATCCCTTTATTGTGTATACCTAAAAATTCAAAGGGTTATTCTGCTACACCCTTGGTTGCTGAGCTGTATTTATTTTACACTGCTGTTTCTATTCTGCATAGAAAGCAGTAGTGTTGAGTTCAGTGCAGTTCTGCAACATTATTCACTATATCTAACGGGACTGACAAATGAGAACCCTGCAGTAAGTCTGAAGGGCTCTCCATCTATACATATGATAGCAAAAGGTAAAGACTGCTCCTAGCAACACTTGAGACACATCTAACCTAAATGAACTCCAGATTAAATGAAACTAAATTCCACCTTCCCACCTTGCTAAAGTAGAAGCCCTTGTCATTCTTTTTCACTGACCCATGTCAAAGCAGACAGGTGTAATGTGAAGAAACTTTCCTTTTAATATGCATTGCTCATGAAACATTCATAACCATATCTGCCATACCCACACCTGCAGCTCTGCTTTCCATTTGTGACAGACATTTTATAGCTGTCTTTTTGTAGGATAAGGTGTCTGGCATCACATGCTCACAGTTGCCCAATTCAGTTGGCTTTAAAAATGAAAATAAAATGGGTCAGTGTCTTTAACTAATTGAAATTTGGAGCATTTGGCACAAATCACATAGGAATTGAGATTATATCACTTTAAACATATGTTTGTTACTGTCCAGCTGCAAAAAAATGTAGAGCAGCTGGCCATGGTCTGTCCCTTTCACTGGTTGACAGGAACACTCTAAATTTCTTTTAAGAGTGGCCTGTTAGTGGTTAGGATTAATATTCTACATGAACCAATGTGAATGGTTGTGGAAAATTATAGAAGGATGGGAGAACATTAAGTCCTCATAAGTGACCTAATGGGCAGACCTTTCTGCTAAAGTCACAGGAATGATAGTTGGGTGAGGTGTTGAAAGTGTTCTAAGCATGCTCCGTGGAATTTTGAATAACTTTACAGAGGCAATACAGGAGATCCCAAAATTTCAAATACAAGCTTCTGTTGAGGGAAGACTCTTGCACCAGGGTTTATGTGCTTGTTTTATGCACACTGAAAATTCACTGGATGGGGAAGAAATAAGAAATATAATATAGCAATTCTTGTTGCCCTGCTAAGTTTTGATCAGGCATCATCTACCCACATACCTCTCTGTTTGTGCTCCTTGTTCTTCAGTGAGGAAGGGGCATGTCAGGAATGTGTTTAATCTCTGCTCTTATTTAATGCATACACAATAAGAATTTGCAGACTTTCATACCACACAGATGTGATTATTCATACATACGCATCATTTATTTTCTATTAACAATTTCACATCTGCCTCAGTGCATGCTTACCAGAAAATACACATCAGCTATTTTTAACTTCGTTTTTCCAATGAATTATTTTTTTCCTTTTTTCCGTTTGTTGTGCAGTCAGCTGAAGAAATGTTAACATCTCGCTCTAAATCTCTCAGTGGAGTCTCTGTTCCCTTCTCTGATATAACAGATGGGTTATTGCTTGTTATAATTATTAACATTTGTGGTGTGGGACAGGGCTAGGGTGGGTTTTTTTTAATTTTGGGTTATATTGGACTTGTTTAAGATTTGGAATGTTAACTCCAGTGGTGACTGACTGTTTCCGTAATAGCAGGTCGTTGTGGCTGCACGCTCTAGTAATTGAGGCTGTGTACTTCACCGAGCTTGTGGTAGAGCATAGGGCGAACTGCTGTCCCAAGAGAATGCTGGGATAGATAGAACTAGCCAATATGAGTCTGAACGTGGTGATTTTGCTGGTTGTTTTTAGTTCCAAATGTCAGCATGCTTAGTTTTGTTTTTGTTTTAATTTGATTAATAAATGTTACACCATTCCCCTTCCGCACCCTGACTCCAGTCCTTTCCTTTACAAAAAATGCAAGTTAGAGACTGAAGTGGAAAAACTTTCCTTAGTTTCAAACTGCATCTTGTGTCCTCATGTTCAAAGTTACGCTGAACACAACTGATTATCTCAAATGTCAGTCGAGAAATATCTTGGGAAGGGAGTGTACTAGGCACATTCTGAGGCAAGCTGCTCAGTTGACAGTGTGGCCAAGGACAGAGATGACTACATCTGAGCATGCCTGAATAGAAGACGCATTGCTAGTTCTGCAGTCTGCTTTTTAAAAAAGGAAAGGGGGAGGGATGACTGCAGCAAATGTATGCCCAAGCATTGCTGTGATCTGCCTGTTGCTGTAACATTCTCTTTTAGCTAGTGGTGAGTAGCATGATGGGATTAACCAAGCATTGAAAACAAAGCTATGAAGAGGCTTGGAGTGGCAACATTTTATTATACAGGGGGAAAAGCTTTTGTTCTTTTTCCTGCTGTCTCAGGGGCTTGAAGTGATACCAATTCACCACTGATAAATACATGAACTTTTAAACCAAATATCTCTCCATGCATATCCATCCCAAATCTGTAAGCACTGGACATTTTATGGCCTTTCTTATGGGTTGGTTTTATAGTTGAAATGGAAGTAGTCAACATTATGAAGTGGAATTTCCTGTTTTGTAATATGCAACTGAGCTTCTCTTAATTGGATTAGCTTGGTAGAGAGGAGTTATCAGTGTCTCCTTACCAAGTTTGCATTCATTATAAATCTGTTCTGTACCTTGTATGCATCTGCTTTCTTCTGTCCTAGGCTGCCTTCTTCCATATATTTCCCTTCTCATATATGTAACTCCAATAAAAGCCAGAAACTTAAGATGAAAACTCTAATTGTTCTACCCAACTGTAGATGCTTATAAATTGAGATGACTTGTTAAAAATTGCTTTTAGGCCACCTTTAAGAGTTAAACCCCCTCAGGACAGTATACAGATAATAAATTGTACAAAAGTATACAAATAGCCAATAAATATATAATAAAATATTATGAGACACTATAAAAGCAAACACTTTTTTTACTGTTTTAATGAGCCATAGTGAGTTATGGCTCGTTTTTGTAGGTAGTTGCTATGGTGATCCCCAGAAATAGAAAATATAAGTAAGGTAAAATTGTATTAGGCCAACTTAAGGTTGGTAGCCCCACTATGAATGCTTTTTTGTGTCAGTGAAATCTTCATCAGACATCACTTGGATATCATCTTATTGGTTTTGTATCTTATTTATTTTATGTATGTCCCACCATTTTTCCTCCAAGGAATCCAAAGCAGCTTACATAATCCTCTCTGCTTTACCTTCAGGACCACCTGGTGAGGAAGGTGTGGTACAGAAGTCAGTGACTGGCCCTAAGTCCCCCACTGAGCTTCATGACTGAGTGAGGATTAGAATTGAGTTCCTCTGAGTCCCATTCCATCACTGTTACCATTGCCCCACACAGGCTTTCTCAATATGGTCCTTTTGGCTGAATGTGCAAGTTCTCAGGTTTGCACAGACTTCCTGTACATGAAGTGTTAAAAAAAGCCAAACAAACCTCAGCCTTAATTTGCATCATTTCAAGATTCTCAGGATTTACCTCCCTAGCTTCTAATTTGTATAAGCTATTTGGATGAGTTTCAGGTGGGTATTTCAGAAAAGGGAGTGGTATTTCCATTCCACAGAACATCATAGTATTAGAGCTATATTGTTTTTCACATAAATTTTCTTAAATATATCCATTGAAATGACAATAGTAAGAAGCTACTGTTCCTTTTTGTAATGATTGCACTAGTTGCTTACTGCATTTTAGTTATTTTAAAAGTTGATTTTTATTCTCAAAACAGGAAGTTTCTATGCTCCATTCTCCTGCCATCTCATCTTAGGAGTGGACCATGATTTTTTCCTTCATAATTACTTCAGAAATATCTAATCTGTAGCAATGTTTACTAGTAGTAACAGGGTCAACAACAATGTGTTGAACTTCAGCTCCTTCATTTTCAATCAATATATTATTGCCTAGCACAACTGCAGGATGATAAGGGTGGGAAAGTTAAAGCTATCAGAGGCCTTCAGTTTGAAGATGATAGGTCAAAGGAGGTTGCACGTAAGCAAGAAAGTAGAGCGATAAAGTTGAATAAATATGGAGGTGGGATTTAAATGTAGTAATAGCAGATACAAAAAGGGGTTGAAATAGTAATAGTTCAGGAAAGGTTTTATAGAATATAAGGAGTTTATGGAAGGGTGTCAATGAAAAATGTGGGCTGGCTTTCACTGATACAACACAATGACGTTTCAGGTATCATTCATTCATTCATTTTTATACTGCCCGATAGCCAAGACACTCTGGGTGGTTAATGAAAGTTAAAAACATAGAAACTGGAAAGAGGAAAATAACATCAGACAATAAAACCATGGCAATTGCAGGTGAATCAGCACAGATGTATAGCAGTGGTACAGGATTAAATGCAATATTAAAGTTAAAAAGTTAATTGTTAAAATGCTGGGAAAATAAAAAGATTTTCACTTGGTGCTAAAAAAAATACAGAATAGGAGCCAGGCACATCTTTTTGAAGAACTCATTCCATAGCTGGGGTGCCACAACCAAAAAGACCTTCTCCTGGTAGTCAGCCTCCTTACTTCCTTTGGAGGGGGTTCCAGGAGAAGGACCCCTGAAGATGACCTTAGCTTCCAGGTAGGTACAGAGCCTAGGGGAATGGGGTGCTTTTTTATTCATTAGATTTATATACTGCCTTTTTTCTTGCAAAGATCACAAAGTGGCTTACATCATTCTCCTCTTCTTGTTCTACTACTTTCATCTTCTTCTGCTTACGTCATTCTTCCTGCTCTGCACACCAAGCCCATGGGGTAGGCTGGTCTGAGAGCTTGTCACTGGCTCAAAGTCATCCAGTTGGCTCCGTGGCTGAGTGGGGAGTAGAACTCAGATCAACTGAGTCCCAGTCCCATGCTCTTAACCACTACACCACACTGGCTCCCTGGTATATAACTATTAAGATAAATAAATATATGGAATGTGGCATTTCCTTCAGATAACCTGGTCCATTCTGTTTAGGGCTTTGAATGTTACTACTAGCATTTTGAATTGGTCCTGAGCTTCAGCTGGCAATCAGTGCAGCTGGAAGAGGACTGGTGTAATATGTTCTCATAAGCCAGTCCCCATGAACAATCTTGATGCCCTGTTTCGGATCAGTTGAAGTCTCCAGAAGGTTTTCAACGGCAGCCCCACATACAGCACATTGGAATAGTCCAATTGAGAGGTTACCAGAGCATGGATTACTGTAGCTAGGCTCAATCTGCTCAGATAGGGTTTTTCTGGTCTGTATTACATCTTAAGCTGATAAAATGTTCTCCATGCCACTGAGTCCACTTGTGCCTCAACAGTTCTGGATTGGGGAGCACCCCCAAACTATGAACCTTGTTCTTTAGTGGGAGTGTAACCCCATCCAGAACAGGTTGAATATCACCCAACTGGACAGGTGAGCCACCCACTAACAGCACCTTCATCTTTCTGGATTAAGTCTCAGTTTGCTAGCCCTCATCAAAATCATTATCATGCCCAGTCATTTGTTCAGAACGGCTACTACCTCACCTGGGCTTGATGAAAAAGAGAGGTAGAACTGAATGTCATCTGCATATTGATGGTACCTCAGCCCATACCTCCCAATAGCCTCCCCCAGCAGTGCCATGTAGACATTAAAGAGCTTGGGGGATAAAATAGATCCCTGTGGTACCCACACAGAGCAAAAATTCCCCAGCACCAGCTTCTGGAAATGGTCATGTAGGAGCAGGACCACTGAATGCAGTACCTCCTCCTAACCCAGCCAGCCTATCCAGAAGGATACCATGGTCAATGGGATTGAAAGCCACTGAGAGGTCCAGGAGAATCAACAGGCTTTCACTTTCCTTTTTTCTCCCAGCAAAAGTCATCCCACAGGGTGACCATGGCAGTTTCCATACCAAAACCAGGCCTGAAACCTTGTTAAAATTGATCCAGATAATCCGTTTCATCCATGAGTGCCTGGAGCTGCCCAGCCACCACCTGCTCAAGCTCCTTGCCCAGGAAGGGGCGGTTGGGCACTGGCCTATAATTATTCGCATCCATTGGGCCCTGGTTAGGCTTTTTTAAGGAGCGGTTTGAACCCCTCCCAGCCTCCCTACGGAAGCCTCAGTGGCACAAGCAAAGTGAGCCTCCTCATCCAGAATCAAGTCATGAATGAGAGAGGTCTTATTCTGGGCTGACCTGGCATTCAGCAGCAGCACCCTCAGACCCAAGGGCAAGGTGGTAAGGCTGCCAGGAAAACAACCAAAAGAAGGGATAGCTCTGAGGTATCCAGCCGCTCTTCTCCTCAGCTGGCTTGTTGACTCCCCAGTGCCATACCACCCTCTACCCATGGCCACAGTAATGGGAGAACCCCCTTGCTTCCTAAAGTTACCCAGAAACATTATTGAGAGATATATGATAACTCTAAACTGATCAGTAGCAACTTCTGTGAGTCTGCCCTCTTCCCCTGCCGGAGCCCAGCACCTGAGCAGTCACTCAATGAGCGATGCCCTTTGGCTGTTGCCTTGGTCTTGGCTCTGTGAAGTAGCCACTGATGAGGGCTCTGCCTCTGGAGCACAGCAGCTGCCTCTCCAGCTAGGGGAGGCAGCCACTCCACAGGGCAGGCTGGTATTAGAATTAATTAAAAAGGGAAACAACAGGACAATAGCTACGTGGAGTTTCTTAAAGGGTAAACAGAAAAGGAGACTTAGAACTCCTGTTGGCAAAACATGAAGTGGGATGTCTGCATTTGAACACCAGGAATTTTCCCCTTCCCTCAAATAAAACCAAAGAAAGGTTTGTTTGTTTGTTTGTTTTTTGCCAAGTACTTTATTCTGGTGGTGGTAATAATAGTGTGTATTACTTGTTCCAGAGAAACTTCTTACAGTGCTTATGGTCAGAGTGTTTTGTTGTTATTTTGCTGATTCATTCCCTTACAGAGACTGCTGTAGCAGAGGTAATCCACCTGAATTGCTTATTTTGTGATACAGGATTTCCCCTTAGCCACTATGGCAGGGGATATCAAAATATAGATGGGTTTGGGAAGACTTTCATGATTTATTGTGACATGGGAGTTGATGCAGTTTGAAACATTTCTCCTCTGTGTTATGTGTGTATGTTTCCATTTTGTGTGAGGGGACAGGTACCTATAAAGTTAGTTCTCTTCTTTTCTGCAGGGTGGATATGCAGCCTACAGATATGCGCAGCCAGCTACCGCGACAGCAGCCACTGCTGCTGCAGCTGCTGCAGCGGCTTACAGCGATGGGTATGTAAGGAAGGAGTGGCTTTGGTGTATCTTGGTATCAGAAGAGCACTGTTTCATTTTGACACTGCTTTGCCCATGTTCCTTAATACATCTGCTCTTGATGAAAAACTTTATAATATTCAAGTGCACCTTATAGCTAGCAGATATAATGTAACGAGAGATAGTCATAAGCATATGGTGCTGTGTTATGACAAAGAGACAGCCAGGTTTTGCAACCATGTGTCTGCTCTTTGTTACTAGGCAAGGCACTGACCTTTAGGGTCATTGTCTATAGGAGCTGGCAAGCGGAAATGTGTTTGTCAGAATTGCCTGTTGTCTGGTCAGTGCTTTGAAAATAATGGAATTTGTGAAGGACAGCACTAAATAGGTCCAACCTTTGCCATATTTGTGACTGACTTAATAAGGATGTTCAGCTTGTAGCATTGTGCTTGGTAGTTTTCTTCCTTCAAAGATTAATATGGATGCAAACATAGGAAGTTGCTTATCTATACTGACTACTAGATATCACTGTGAGGGCACAGTAGCTTGTGAACTTAGTAAATGGACTGAATTAAAATCTGCTGGAAAGTATTTTGGGTGTACCCCCCTTTGTCTACCAGTGGAATGGCTACAGTGATTTAAGAACATAAGCCCTGCTCGCTCAGATAAAAGGCCTTTCTAGTCCACCATCCTGTTTCCATGGTGGCTAACCAAGTACCTGAATGAGTAGCCCACAAACTGGATGTGAATTGCACCCCTTTTGCTCATGTTTCCCAGCTACCTGTGTCCAGTGGCATATTGCCTCTAATACTAAGGTAATATTAAACCATTCCTAATGGTCATTGATAATCATCTCTTTCATGAATTTTCCTAATCCCTTTATAATAGTCATGATCATCGCTTCATCCTTAAATATTTTTGATAATAAACTTTGTGAGAAGAGAGTAGATACAATTGCCATAAGTAAGACTGGCTTACAAAGTAACAAAGCATTTACATAGATGTACAATTTATGTAACATTAGTTCGGCATCTTTTACTTCAAACACCTCTCACACTGTTCTGTTTGATAGTACAGTGGCACCTTTCAGTGCTTTCTTCCTCATTCCATCCAAAGATGGATTCTCATTGCCTATGTGGAATGATAGCTTACTGATGTCATGATATTAATTGGAATTTTGTGGAGTTAGGGATTTCTTAAAGTCGAAAACTATGAGTCTTTCCATAATAAACCCTTTATGGAGCAAAATACAGATCTTAAAACAATTTTGCATGGGAAAATAAATCCAAAATGAGCATTCTTTAAACATTTTTAAATATATTTATTCTGGTGCTGAGTATTTGGGGTTGACACCACCATATATTAACACCAAAATGCTCTGTTGAAATAAACTACTCCTTTAGCTTCTTTCCTTTCCTTTGGTGACAAATATGCCTTAGAAGCCTTTTGTGAAGTGACATTTTTTTCTCTCCTCCATTTCCTTTTCCTCAGTTATGGCAGGGTGTACACAGCAGACCCTTACCACGCTCTTGCCCCTGCTGCTAGCTATGGAGTTGGCGCTGTGGTAAGTATGTCCCCTCTTCCCATCATGATTTTGTGCTTTTACCAAGAGACCTTTGCCAATTGCCTATAAATAGTCCCATGTGTTGTAGAGTAACAATGGAATCCAAATATATTTACCTAGAAGTAAGCCCCACTGATTTTAATAGTGCTTACATGTGCATAGAATCATGCTGTAAATGAGCATAAGATATATCTGTTAGTTGCTGTAGCAGAGGAGGAAGGGTAGCATTATACCTTGTGGCTAAGGAATGGTGAAAATAGAAAGGCAAACATGTGCGAGAAAATGCTGCCTACCACTCAGTCCTGTTAAATGGAATGCACAGACAGAATCTGTAAATGGCAGGTAATGTAGGAACTCAGCTGCTATATCAGCATTCCCAGACCAGGACTCAAATACGGCTTTTATATTCTATTTCTGTGTACATTTGATGTCTGTAGGCATCTCTGGATCCAAGGATTTGATTTATTGTCTTGGTTGTATGAACTGCCATAACTTTGTTTTTTACATACAGTAAAACCTTGGATTGTGAGCGCAATTTGTTCCAGAAACATGCTTGTAATCCAGAGCACTTGTATATCAAAGCGAATTTCCCCATAAGGTTCAATGTAAATAAGGTTAATCCATTCTGTAACTTTTTTTTAAAAAATCCCAAAAATTTGAAGCAGGCACGCTGGGGGAGGCGATGGGCGCAATCGTGGGCGTGCTCAGGTGAGGGGAGACGATGCTGTACAAACAGCTGCAGCTCGGCAGGCAAAGCGTGCGTAATACTCGTACAGCAAGATATTGCTCGTTTATCAAGTTATAATTTAGAAAAAAACTTTTTGCTCATCTTGCAAAAAACTCACAGACCAAGTTACTTGCAATCCAAGGTTTTACTGTATTTTTTAAAAAGGCAAATCTTTAAAAAACAACTTAGAGATTGATTTACTATACCTTTTTGACCTGAAGGGATTGCAGATTCCTGCAGGGTTTGTTTTTAAGCTGAGGCATAACACCCAACCACCTTACTTTCTGCTTTTAACCTTTCCTGGGTCTTCTACAAGGAACAGTATGTCTACTACTGTGTGTCACTTGTGAGCAACTTCTGGTCTGATTTAATTCACGTATACACAGCTCCTTAGGCTGGTTCCAGAAAAAATTAGCCTTGTTTAGTTTGAAGGAACAAGCAAGGAAACAGAGGAACTAGTGGAGTGCAGAACAAAGAAGAAAAGGAACTGTGGACAAGGAGAACAGAGACGGACATAGTCACAGATAGTCCAGGACCAAGAGTGTTGTTGATGTAGAAAGCTTATAATGGGCTGAGTCACTTGGTGCCTCAGGAAATACTGGCTGAGGGAGCAGAGGTTTCCATAGCTTCCTTTCATTACTTTGGATCTTGAGAGGGGAAGAGTCTTGCAGGTGTCCCATGGCTGCTAACTACTACTCTCTCTTCTCCATTGACCTTCTGCAGGCAAGTTTATATCGAGGTGGCTACAGCCGATTCGCCCCTTACTGAAGTGACATGAGCCCCCTGCGAGTGGGACAGCCCCCCCAGTACATGAGGCCTGGCTATTGCAATATTTACTAGTAGAGGAACTCTATAGCAAGAAGAGGAGGAAAACAAAAGAAAAAAAAAACAAGAGAAATACTTTTTTATACCTCACTATGTTCTTTGAATATGTATTTTTCCTTTAAATTTCTGCCTTTAATTCTTTTGTTCCAAAGATTGTGCATTTTTGTTTTCTTGTTTTTTTCTGGTTGTTGTTTTTTTAACTGTGGTAAACAAAATGCATTTCCATGTCTGTATATGCGTAGCTTATCCTACCAATCACAAAAGAGTTGAACAGTGCTAAGAAGCACCATTAGGAACCAACATCATGGAACTCAATCAGGAATCAGGAACATGCAGATATTTGTTTTACCTGGGTCTGGACCCTGAGGCCTGTGATCCATGAGGAACAGTCCCTCTATCTACAGAGGGCAGTCCTAATTGGCTGCAGCTGGAACCTGCAGGCTGGTCAGAAACACAAATGTCCCCCATTTTATTTCCATCTGGTACACGTGGGCTCAGGAGAGTTCCAGAAGCGTCAAGATTTTACAGTTTTCAAGACAAGAATCCTCAAAGCTGCCCAAAGACTTTGTCTGTTAATGGTTTTAGGGGACAAGACTTGAAATGAATATGTGATCTTACTGCTTCTATACATACACCTAACTTTAGTGATTGTTGTCCACTACCAAGGCTTAACTTCTTAGTTTCTTTCACTTGCTATGGTCTTCCTCTCTTCCCACCCTCTCCCTCTTTTCTTTGCTGGAGAAACAGCAGATATGAGACAATGACTACAGAACCTGAAGCCATGTGGAGAGAGTTTTATCTTTGATGATAAGGAGTATGATGACAGAGTTGTACACAGCCTGGAGTTAAGAAGAATGATGGTGGGGAAAGCTTGCACCAGTGCCACTCTGAGCTGCTCCAAAATCTGAGTGCCCAAGACCCACTTCTTGTGACACCCTAAGACAATTAGACTTGCTGCAAGTATGCCACTGAAACATTGCATGAAAAGAAAAAAATGTGTCTTGGATCATGGTCCCAGGAAAGTGATGGAGGCAATGGGGAGGACTGCTTGTGTCATAACACTATTCTTGAAGTCATTGTTGTATAGTTTTGGCATCCGGGGGAGGCAAAAACGTATTTCAGAAACACAATTTAAGAACAGAGGAAACTTCCTTTTGATATGCAACACAGAGCCTTTAGTAGTTTGTCACCTCTTTGAAGAGAAATCTGTATCAGACTGCTCAGCGTGGGTGCATACAGCAAGTTGTGAGCTGACTCTGAGCCCAGAGATTTCTCCCTTAATTTTTTTTTTTACTTGTACATGGAATGCCCTTTATTTTATGCAGTGGGTGTCTTGTAAGTTGCTATAGCAGCATGTGTGTGACAACAAGCAAACCACTGCTCTCAAATATCTGCCGCTAATTTTGGAAATCAAAGGGGCAGAAGAGATCCTGCTTTGCCCTCTTAGCTGTCATGATTCTCTCAACACCTCTTGCAGATTCTCTGCAGCTTTACCTTTAAAACCCTACATGTTAAAGAAGCACAATTCCTTTGGCTCCTTGGCCTGCCTAAACTGGTACTGGGTGACCTTTCACCCTGAAAGGGCAGCTAGGAGGTGGACTTGTAGCCGAAGCTGTCTCATCTGCCATCATTCACCTGCCCACCAGTGATGTCAACATGGGAACAGAGACATCCTGAAATCCTTCCGTGAACAGGGCTATTGAGGAAGCGCACTGACCCAGCCATACACAGCTCGCATCTTTACTCCCACTCCCATTAAGCCCTTTTCGTACTTGCCAGAGAGCACCAAGGATGTTAGAGAGGATGCATGAAGCAAGAAGGGCAGGGGAGCTCTTCACAAAGCTAGAGACTCTTATCAATGTCGATTCTTTGGAACAAGGTGACACCAAACTGCCAGCCTGTTGGCCACTTTTTGATTTTGTTGTCTTGTTTTTTCAAGCCAAAGTTTGGTTTGTTGCTGTTATGACAATTTCTGTTGTTTTTGTATATAAATACTTTAGTTACTTTGAAAATGGGGTGAGGGGAGTGGGGTGTCAGGGCTTTCACAAAATCAAGGAAATGAAGAAGGAGGGAACTTCTGGTTTGTATAATTTTTTGGTGTTATGTTCATCAGAAGCCTGTGTGCATCACAAGGCAGATGAGGGCAGGGTCAGACTCCTGCCTAGGAATGAGACACAGCAAAGATTCCTCCACTGAGCCACCAACTATTTGCAAAGAGCCTTCTGCTAGCATTACAGAAAAGAGCAGCTTGAGTAGCTCTACCACAGTTTTGGGGCCAACTGGCTCCCCAGCTGAAATAATGAATAGTCTGGATACTGGTGCATGTTTTGAGCAGTGTGTCTGCTCCAGTAATGGAGCTGAGTGCCACCCCGTGCTTCAGGGTTGTGACTGAGCCATCTTGGTGCTCATCAAAGCTACAGTGCCAGCCCTGCATGGTGACCTTAGCCAAGTCATTTTGCTTGGTTATTTGTTTTATCTCTAAAATGGAAGACCAAGGTACCTCTCCATTGTGAAACAAAGTGAGATCCATGGTGAAAAACACTGTTGTTAAAGATTCATTCTCACCTTTCCATTTTTCCAAAGCCTAAAAATGTCCAAACAAACCAACTTTGTTGCAAATTAACTTTTTAGCAAGGTACTGTTTACCTTTTGATTCTAGACAGAAGTGCATACAAAGTTAAGGCTTTGAAAAACTTCATACATTCTCTTCCTGTTACAGATATCTGATAGATTAGGAGTGGGGGACACTTTGGATTTCAAGAATTGAAACCAAATTTCAGTGATAGGTCTTTTGCTGTGTCCCACACCTAAAGGGAGAATTTGCAGGTAGCCTAGGAAAGAATATTGCTTATTGGCTTCCAGCATACTAGGATCGGAGGGGTCCTTCGCACAGGATTGGGTTGGAGAGGATTTAAGAGTGTGTTACTGGTTTGCACTGGTTGTAAAATAGGAAAATGAAAACCCTAGCAGACATAGTGAAGAGCCAGTATAGTCTGAGCAGCCCAGCCCTCTCTGCCTACTCCCTATCCACCCAGTCTTCTTTTGCTGTTGCTTTTATTGACAATGTAATGACACTAAACCCTGAGTTCATGGAGCAAACTGTCTTCTGGTAGTCAGAGTGAATCTGGTCTTTCCAATGTATTTTGTGGGTGTTTTCTTCTCTCCCCCAACCCCCTGATTGCATCTAATTAAACCCAAGACTTGCATCTTTCCTGCCTCCTGCCCTGGGAAGCGAACTGCAGTAGGATGTCAACATTCAGAGCTGGCTGCCAGAAATAACGGTGGGGAGAGGACACACCAGACTTAGCATAATCCCCCACTGTAACTTAGTCTGAGTGAATAGTTGGGAAGACTTCTAGATAAGTTGAACCTAAGCCCTGCCAGTTGACAAAGACTGGAAAGTGGGTAGAAAGCCTGCTCCTCAGCAGTTGCAATTTTTCCTGCCAACTTTTTTTTTCCCTAAAGCCGTCCACTGGAGAATTAATTTGGTGAGAAATCTGCATCATGCCACCTAGTTAGTGGTTTCTTTTTTAAAAGATGGAATAAAATTGGAAGCTTTTTCTTTCTTTCTTTCTTTTTTCTTCTTCTTTTCTCTCTTTCAGGGGTGGAACAATAAAGGGCATTTGTTGCTGCTTTGAAAAGCAACCATCAAGGAATCTTGCCGATGTATTCAAAATAGTGAATAGTTGCAGTTCACTTTGCCTGGAGTCTAATAAGTGGTTAAGTTAATCCTTCTGGAGATTTAATTCGGGCTTTAAATTTGTTTTGTAAATAGCTGGGGCAAAACCCTGGCACAATGACAAATGTAAGGCATGACTGCAGGGCAGAACCAAGCTGAGAGTTTATACCAACTGCTCAAGATGAATTAGTAACACTTGGTGTTGCTCAAGACAAGGCCTAAAATGCCCCAGGCTGACTTTCCTGTCTTGCAGTATCTCCTGCACCACTCCCAGCCAGGTACCCTTGGGACATAGGATGCATTGTAGTTTGATGCTCTCCTCTCCTCTGGATCATTTCTCAGGATGCCTAAGCTGCTTGAGCAGAGTCCCATTTCCCTGCTGACTCTGGAAAAGTAGTATCTGCATCCCAGGACTTTGTGGCAGTCTCTAATGTCCCTCCTGCCCTCCCGTCCCACCCTCCCCCTGTTTAAGTATCATATTGTACAGTAGCTTTCAAACCATACAGTATTCATTGGGTTACTCTTATTATTATCAAGTAGCTGGAATTGTGAAGGTCGGAGTAGTTAGATCTTTAGCTTTTCTTCCTTTTTTTTTGTATTACTATCCATGTGTATAAATTATTGATCATGTTGCTGGCTTTTATAAACTCTAAGCAAGGGAGGAGCCCTTCCTCACCCTTTGCAAATGGTAATGAAGCACTGTTTTTAAATAAAAGAAAGAAACACCACTTCTGGATTCAGTGTTTATATTCCAAGCCTCTAAATTAATGTCTTGTGGATCTCCCATTCCTTGTTTCCTTTTACAAGCAGCATGTTCTGATTTGATTTAGAGAATAGATCTGACCACTTTAAGATAAAAATGTGAAGCTTGGAGTAAGTAGACTTGAAAAAATGGTCAGTCTTATATGGGCCTGCTTTGTAACCCTTTGGAATCCTACAGCATTTCTTAATTTTATTTAAGAACTTTGTATTCTTTTTTTCCAAGCTGGAAGTCTTCCCAATCAAAAATGTTAAACACAAAAGGATGAAACATCATCATCAATATTACCAGTCATCTAATTTGCACATACTTTTATTTTTTCCTTTAAAATGGAAGCCTAAAGAGCAGCATAAAACATGTAATAACTAGCAGTGCATTGCAAATTCATAAAATACCCTTATACAGTTGAAACAAATACTATAATTAGTTCCATTTCCTAACCAAAGAGGGAATGAAATTTTTAAAATCTTTAGGAACAAACCTGAAACAGGAAAGGGATTCCATAAATGAAGAGCCCCCATTGAAAAGGCGGTACTGTGTTCTCACCAACTTGTTTGTAGCTACCGATGGGTGGGTGAGTATTGCCTCTGTGGCTGATTTCAAGCCCTAGGCTGTTCCCTTACTGGCAATGCTTGTCTCATGGGGCTCACAGAAAAGTCTAATGAGATTGCTTTCCTCAGATGTTCCTGTGTAGATTTTTGGGGTCTGGAAGACAAATGACATTGGAGTGGGCCCGTTATGCAGTTCTTGTTTTCTTCACTTGAGCTTCTCAAGTTGTAGTTGTAGACCATCTTCTATTCAGTGATTCTCTAGATTATCCATGGCTTGATGGGGCAAATATCCTTTTTTTGGACTTCATCAGCCCATGATCGGAATTAAGTACTAGTCATTTTGCAAGTCTTGAATCTTATTTCTTGTGCTTCTCAGCAGAATTAAGTATTGTCATTAATTGATGACTCCTCAGCTATCGGGTGTGCTAGTATACAGCACAGGATCCAAGATAATGGATGTTTTCAGGATATTTTTCAAGTCCCAACACCACAGTAGGTTAATTTGGTGATGCATACAGTGTGGTGGTTGCAACTAAGCAGAGAACAAGTGGTGTGGGCCCAGACCTTAAATCAGGGGTCCTCAAACTTTTTCAATAGGGGGCCAGTTGAAAGGCAGTGGCTACACTTGCGTGCCAGTGGGGGGTGGGTGGGCAGGGGGGCCGGTGAGGCATTGTTGGGTGCACGCAAGGTGGCATTGGGCACGTGCAGTGGTGTCTCGCTCACTCGGAGATCTAATGAGTCCAAAACCATCTCCGAGCGAGCAAGCCACCACCTGCTGCCCCCAGGTGGCCAGGCAGGGTTACCATGGCAAAAGAACTTGCTGCCTGAACCCTTGGAGATCTGCTCTTATAGTACATGTTACTGGGGTAGAGAGACAGTGGGTCTGCCTCTATATATGACTTTCCCATGTTCATGTCTGCCAATTATCTGCTATCAAAATTAAAATGTAGAGTGGCAGGACTGAAGTAAAGCCAGTCCTCTTGCTTGGCAGGAGACAAATACGGCTTGTCGCATTTGTTAAAATAGCTCCATCATGATTTGAAAAGCAGTCAACGTGTACCAAACTCTTGAATGAATCTACCTCTGCCCCTTACAGAGGTAGATTCATAGGGTAGAGATCAACCATTCCCAAGAGGTTTTCCTAAACACCCTACTAATGCCTGGAAAGGCTTGGGGAGTTGCTTACTGAGCCCCCAAGGAACCTGGAGCATGAGGAAATTAACCACTTGCAAACAGATGTTGAAGGTTAATTAATGCATTGACATTCACAAAGTGTTTTGAGGTGAGCAGGTAGAAAATGCTTTCACTCAAAATGTTAGCATTTTTGTTTTCAAGCAGCTAAGCCTAATAGAGCAATAACAAATTACACTACTTAGAAATGGCTTTGAAAGCTGCATTGTTCTTACAGCTGCTCATGGGTGCACTGAGCTTCGTAACAGTGCCATCTGGTGACTGATCCGGATGTACATAGACTTTGCACATTCAGTTCATTATCTGTTGCTGAATGTATTTTCAAGAGACTGTTCATCAACTGGTAAAGAGTATATGACAGGAGTTGCTTTTTTCTTATTTAGCAATTTCCTTATTCAGAGGGCTGGGTATGGGACAGCCAGGTTTTCAATATTTACTTATATTTTTATTCTGCATTTTCTCCAAGGGGTTTGATGTAGTGTTTGGTGTAGGCAGATTTCAGGCTTGAAAGATCTATTGCTTTTTACTAGAACCCCAAGATCCACCCAGTGGGGCTGGGTGCAAAAGTCATACATTTAGTTTAAACAATGATAAGCCCAGTAATTTGGTGAGTACTAGAACCAAGCAGCATTCAAAGTCCTGCCACACAAATGTGATTGATTTCAGCTGTGAATTTAGGGTGTGAGGCAAGGGGTTTTTTTCTGCTATTGCAAACAATTGGAATCCGAAATCCTTGTTGAGCCACCACAAATTTCCTAGAGGCCTACATTCTGCCCACCCTGGTGTATTTGATCTCACTCTGCCCACATTTTATCCTCACCATAACGCTAAAAGAAAGGCGTGAGAGAGAAATTCCCCACTTTCATTAGTGGGAATTTGAACTCTTAATTTCTCTAGACTAAATCTAACTCTATTCATTGAACCAAATAGACTAACTGAGAAATCCCTGGAAGGCCACCTCTTTGGAACTAACTTGCTTCAACCATGGGACTGTGAGGCTTAAAATGCCACTCTGAAGAAAGGGAGAATGTAAAAAAAGCAAATGAATGAATAATTTTGTGATTTTATTCAGGAAATTCAACAGCACAGTCTGAAGTCCTGGGATATATTGTACAATGTCATGAGAAATGTTTGCTGGCAAAAGTAGGCTTCAATTTGTGTGTGCATGTGCACACCACAGCCCATTCAAATCTTCTGCACCCACCTCATGATACTGTTCAGGCCTTTGTGATCCATTCAGAAGTGATGAGTTTTGATAGAGATGAAGAGGTGCTGCCCTTTATAGAACCAATCAGTAAAACAGTAAACTCTGAGCCTTTGGATGATTCAAGCATATCTTGTGAAAGAAACTTCCACCTCTGCATTTTCTGTGCTGGTGTGTATGTTGCAACAACATGCTGCCAGTCTTGCTTGGCATTAGCCATATAATTCAATCATGTTTGTAGTCTTCTACCAGAGTGTCTTGGGTAACTTCAGTCCAGATGCAGATGTTACTGTATTAAGGAGCTATATAAACACAGTGAAGTGGGAAGGCTAGGGAAGCTGTTTTATTCCTAAGCATAGTAGTAGAGATTTTTCCTTTTCCAAAGTGAATGGAGAAACCAATATTTATTTTAGATGAATTCAGTGATTCACTCAAGCATGCACAGAAAGCACAACAGAAATGATGATGCACTGGAAAAATATTAAGATTTAAGGATGTATCTGTGTTTCATTCCAAATAGTGCTGCCAGGTTCTCAATATGTGCTATACCAGAAGGCAGACTTAGACCTTTTTCTCTGAGAGACCAAGTGGCAGTTGGCTCCCTTGCTCCTGTAAGCAAATCCTACTTCGAATCATCTGGAGATTCAGCAGTGTGCATCTTCTCTCTGGTGTGAGCTGAAACTTGCTATCCCACTTGGTGCCTTTCTCCCTCCACCCCCCCCCCCAAATTTCATTTTGCTTGCCTAAGGATATGCTCGGCGCTGCTCTTATACCAACTCATCTCATGAAGGGGTAGGAATAAAACCATCAGATCCACATTCTGTCTAGAAATAGCCACCTAAAATGGTCTTTATAGGCTGCGCCAAAAAGACACACTTGATGGCTTTGAGCTTTAACTGAAAGATTAAAAGAAAATTAGAGCAGGGAGTGCAGAGTTGTCTACCAACAATACAAACCATGTGTCTTCTCTAGGAAGGGCAACTGGCTGTTTCACAATTTATATGCATAACTACTGACAGCAGCTTGGGCAGTCTGGGACTAGAACAAAGATTTGTTTGATTTGATTTCTTCCCATGTTGATTTCTAATAGAAAAACAGAGCACCCAAGGCAGAGCTAGCCTTAACTCAGTGCTGTTTGCTACTAGCAGCAAGCACTGTGATAAGAGTGATAAGCGCTGCAGCTACGTTCACGGAAGTGGCTACCTCATAGAAAACCTTAGCAAGCTTAATCCAGGTTTGTGGTCACAGGATGCTGAACTACAGAGGTCATTTCTTATATTTATAGCAATGGGCTGAAAGTGTGGAGTGCTTCTCTTTAGGGATTCCAGTACTCCACTCTATTTCCTCTCCCACCTGCCCCTCAGTTGTCAGACAGCTTCCTGTGCCCACTGAGCATGCTCAGAGTTCATTAGGCATTTTTTAAAATTTCCACCAGCTACATCATAGATTTTTTCTAAACCAATGTTTGCTTCTTCAAATGTGTGGTCCCTGTTATTAGTCTGGCTGCCACATTTTGCACAAGCTGAAACTTCCGAACAGTTTTCAAGGGCAGCTCCATGTACAATGTATTGCAGTAATCTGGCTTAGAGATTACCAGTGCACTAATCATACTGTTAGCAGACTCTCTCTCTCCAGACAGTGTTGTAGCTGAGCCACCAGTCGAAGCTGGTAGAAAGTGCTCTGAGCCACCGAAGCCACTTGGGCCTCAAGCAACAGAGGTGACTCACCGAAGCTGCAAACCATTTTTGTTTTTGTTTCCATCAGCCACTCTATGGATTATTTCTAAATCAGTTTTTACTTCTGCAAAACTGTCCAGAGAGCTTTGGCTATTGGTGGATATAGGAATGAAATAAAATCAACATAGGGTTCCTTTAAGCCCAGTGGTACCATCCACTTTTGTGTGAGCAGCACCACTTGCCCTACCTGAGCATTGGCACTCACCTCTGACCATTAGAAATAGGGAGAATGATCTCTACGAGTTGGGTCTCTTGAGAGGTTAAGAGTGCTGGATTCTAATCCCCCCTCAGCATGAAACCACTGTGTGGCTTTGGGCCAGACCCTGTCTTTCAGCCTACCTCACAGGCTTTTTGTGCTGAGGATGAAATGAGGTGGAGGAGAACCTTGCAAGCCACCTTGGCTTCTTTGCAAGAAGACAGGCAGGATATAAATATAACTAATAGTACTTACTGACTACTCATCTTTTGTTCCTACAAGGAAGAGATTTCCTCTAGGAATTGTGTAGTATGTAAAGCCTCCTTTTAGAAAGAGGCAATTAAGGTCCATGCATTTTCTTTTTCTTAAATAGAAATGAGCTCATTTGTTGTTGCCCAAGCTCAAAAATGTTGCCACCTCAGCCTGTCGCTTCTTGAAAACAGCAGTGTTTGCATCAGGAGGTTTTGCTTCTGTGTACCAGAGGTGCAGAGGTGCCAAGAACCAGCCATCCTGGGTCTTGATTTGGCCCTCTGGTGTTTCCCCCTTTTCTCTAGCCACTGATCATTTGGTGCAGTTTCTTCTCATAATGAAACCCTGAAATGCATCATCTAAGGATTACTTCATGCTGCTATTTTGGCCCCACTCCTTTTGCCTAGGCTCACTGTGCTTCTGAAATGCCCCCTCTCCCCAAGAGCACCTCCAAATGGAAACGAACAGGACATTTGTGAAAAGCGTATTGGCATCCCTTTTGTAGGCACTGGGGGAATCTTGTTTGTCCTCATGATTTACAGGTTTCCTCATGAGGCCATTAAATTGGGCGGTGGCGGGGGAGGGGGGGGGACTTGTATCCAGTACAGGCAATTGCACTGAGGAAAGTAGACTTGCGTCTAGTCTTTTGCAATGCAGGATCTTTCAATCCACCTGTTAGTTATCTTGTGCGAATAGGAGTAGGTAACTTAGGCCCTCCAGGAGCTTTGATCACCAATTCGTATCTGCCAGAGCCTGCACAGCCAATGGGGAGGGAGGATAAAAGCTTTGAAGGGTCACACAGTGTTGTGCCTGTGGCGGGAGATTTGGTCTTAGGTCAACAATGAAAGACATTTGTAGTGAAATAGATTTGAGGATTTAAATTTACATCCTTATACCTAGGCAATGTAAGTGCCTGCTAAATAAAGAAAAGCAGGGGTAGTCAACTACAGCCATGTATGTGCTGTTAATCAATCTGTTTTATTGAGATACCATACAAAAATTAAGCCAATAAAACTGGCTGAGTCTTCCACGAGTCACTTTTACTGGCCAGATGTGAGGAAACCTCTGATGGGTTTTGGGTTGCATTTTTGGCACTTGGTCTCTAAAAGAATGGCCAGAAATGATCAGCTGTGCGGAAACAGCTACTCAAGGAAGGCTTTTTCAAAATCGCATTGCTTTCAATGGAACTTTACCCCTGTATTGGGGTTCGGGGTGTGCACCAGGGTAGGGCTAGGGTTAGAAAAAGGAGGTGTCCTGGCATGATTCTGAAGGTTGGAATGTGTTTAGAATGGGCAGAAATGATCAGCTGTGCAGAAACAGCTACTCAAGGAAGGCTTTTTCAAATTCGCATTGCTTTCAATGGAACTTTAGCCCTGTATTAGGGTTAAGGGAGTGCACCAGGGTAGGGCTAGGGTTAGAAAAAGGAGGTGTCCTGGCATGATTCTGATGGTTGGAATGTGTTTAGAATGGGCAGAAATGATCAGCTGTGCAGAAAAAGCTACTCCAGCAAGGCTTTTTCAACATTGCATTACTTTCAATGGAACTTCACCCATCACTGCCGTAGCCCATTCAAGGAACCTACGCAGCCACAAAACGAGTGCTGTCAGCTCCCTTTCAAATGATCATATTCCTTCTCCTTGTACACCAGTGCTTTCCTAATTGCTTTCGGTCCAATCCCACCTGGCTGCATCTAGTGGTGGCCAAATCCTCATCAGCTGACCTTCCAATCTTGGTTAGTATGGAGCACTGTCTCAGCAGGGGAACAAGGCATGGCCACACTGCTGTGGAGCTCTATAAATTACTTTTTGTAGGAACTGCTACAGAGCATTGACTTTCTCGTGATTACTGTCTATAACTGATCCAAAATGAAGAGTTAATCTAAAATAAGGGACACTTGGCATGCTGGAGTAATTTGCCAGGCTGTTCAAGAAAAGGTGCTTGTAAATGTCTGCAGATGGCCCTCCAAGGATCCATGCATACCTGTGCTCATGCCATGTTACATTCTGAAGCAGGGAAGATTCATGGAATGATGCTCAGTTCAGTGGTCATCAAAGCATTAGGGGAAATATTGCTGTCTTCCAATCCTTTTCAAGGAATCTTTTTCTCTCTGCAGCTGTGCCAAGGTAATATCCCTCCCTTACAACAGTATTTGTTCATGGCTGCCGCCCAGGCATCTACTTACAAGAAGGGCAGTGTTCAAATGTTTTAAATAAATAAAGGGTAAGGTGGCTTAACTCAATCAGCCTTGGAATGTGGGTTTACTGCACACAAGGAACTTGACACGGAGCTGCTGCTGAGAGGGAATGCACCAAAACGAATCACAGCCTTCTAGGCAGGCTCACTTTTGTGACTTCCCTGCTGTTGCCCCACCGCAACTCCCCATCACTCACTCCTGCCACGGATGCCGCTTGGGGAGCAGCTCCATAAGTCGCTCTTTGCTGGCCTCCTTGAAGGCAGCCTCTTCCTCCATGGTTGCCTTCACCACACTTGCCTTGGTGGATCAGACCAATGATATTTTTAAAAATCAACTTTATTGCGTAAAAATGACTTCTAATGAAAAACTTGCTCTGTCTCTAATCTTCAAATAGTGTGGCCATTTATACATTATCATTAAAGAGTACACAGGTATGTACACTGTATATTACAGATCGTGCAAATTTAGAAATCATCGCAATTACTTAAATGGAAATACAACACATTGCAGCATTCTGGTAAATAAAACTAGATATGCCCAAAAAGAACTCCCCTGCGAATGACAAAGCAAAGTGATTGTTTGAACAAATAGAACAGTTGAAGCCCAAGTAATTTTACAGAAAACAATGAAAAACTGTCTTTTCTAGTTTCTTTCATGAACAAAAGGCATCAGAACAACGTAAGTGCAATCCCATGCATGTTGAAGTAGAAAAAAGAATTTTATTGCGTAAACATGATTTTAATATTATATTGATCATTGGAAAACTCATTTCTACTGAGCTTAGATTATTGTAGCATGTATCACTAAAACAGAGGGCAAATGACACACAAATTTGCACAGTACAGTACATTTCAGCTTATTGATTAGCGCCATTGGTTGTTAACAAGAATTGCTCTCTAGAGAGCTGCACAGCTACCATGGAACTGCTGGATCCCAAACTATTGTAAAGAATGGAAAAGCAACTTCCCTGGACCCCTGCAGTCACAAGAAACCCTTAGGAGCAACTTAAATGCAACTCCATGTATGTCTACACAGAAGGAAGTTCTACGGAGCTTAATTAGTTTTTCTTTCAGGTATACCTATTGAAATAAGGTCTCACAAGGCAGGTAAGGGTTAATGAAGGGATTAGTTGAACCAGAAGATACTCCAAATACCAGGAAGAAGCGAGTAAGTTAAGCACCAGAGCTGGATGTAAATGGCGAGTTCTTGCCCAGGACATCTGGCTGGTATCATTGCCTCGATGTTAAAGGTGAAAACTGGTGGCAGCTGAAGGAAGTTGTGTGTGTGTGCGGAGGGTGGGGCTCCTAGGATTGGCTGCCAGGCATCATCCTGTCCTCAGGGCAAAAGGCTAGAAAGATCACTTTGGAGTGATCTTTGTCTCGCATCAGATGCCAACTCTGTAAGCCGCCCTGAGATGTTCTGCAGGGAACAGGATAGAAAAACTTTTAATAAATGAATAAAACTGACCAGCTTCTGAGACCTTTGCTGGGAGGAGACCCATGCTAGGAAAAAATGGAGAGAGAAAATGTAATAAAGAAATAGGCAGGTTATTAAAGAATTGGGTTACCTTTTTGTTTTATTCTGGTGGTGGACCAGAGTCCACGTCCGTGGGACTGGGATACCAGGCAGCCTTGGCCATACACATCATCGCTGCTCTCCCCTCACCCTTTCCTTCTGCCCTTCCTTCCATGTCCTAGTCTGCATTCCCCATGTTCACCATTACAAACAAGTTTCGAAAAGTTCCACAAGTAGTGCATTCACAGTGCAGTTTTTTTAGTCTCTCTCATTCTTCCAGTTCCCTCAGTTCTTCATAGAGTTTGCTGAGATTCTGTGCAACCTCTTCCAACTCAGTAGCCTTGGCTCTGATGGCAGCCGCTGCTTCTACTGTGGCCCCTTTTGTTATATGAATGGCATCCTGGATGATACTATAGGCATCCATCACAAGACCCAGCCCTGCCATGGTCGCAGTTGCCACTCTGGCCGCTTTGGTCATTGCAAAAGCAGTGCCTTTAAATGCCTTTTCGACTTGCTTCACGCCTCTCACAGAAACACGGGTGGTGCCTCCTGCAGCCACTCTCTTTGCTAAAACCTTCAAGCCGGGGTTAGTTCTAATGCACTTCAGGGCCCCAACAGTTGCACTGATCCCCTGTGCAGTCGTAATCAGTTTTGGCACTTGCTGAGCACCAGCAGCAATGTGTTGGATGGCTTTATTTTTATCTGGTGGTAGCAACCCAGAGCTCAGGTCCATCTGACCCACCAGCGTCCCCAGGCTTTTCTCACACTGGTCCATCAGCGCTTGTGCCTCTTTCCCTTTCTTTGAATTAATAAAATGTTCACACAGACCAGCAGAAACACCAGTAGTTGCCGCTGCTGCCCCTAAACCCATCCCAGTGGCCGATAGGATTAAGCTCCCACCTGCTGTGACGGGGGCCAGGGCCAATCCCAGGATGGTCAAGATGCCAGAAACTGCGCCGGTAGAACTGGCAGTAATGTTGGCAATGGTGCAGTCCTTATGGGTCTTGTCAATTTCATTTGCCAGTTCCTGAAGGCACCTGATGCACTTTTCAATCTCTTCTCTCCGGCCAGGAAACTCTTTCAGAAAATGGGCAAAGATTTCTTTTGCATCTGCCAAAAGACAATGAAAGGTGTATTTCAGTTCAGGAAACGATTTCCAAAACAACCAGTATGGTAAAGTAGTTGAATCTCTAGGACTGCCCGGTTAGGGCAGGGGGGCTCCTGGGGAAGCCACACTTGGGCTATCTAAGTCAGTGTCGCTAGGTCTAGCCTACCTAGCAAGATTGCTGTGAGGATCAAAGGGAGAAATCAATGCAACAGGGCATTAAACCAAAGCACGCTCGTCCCAGACCAACCTCCTCCCAGTTCCCCAGAGAAGGGTGGCAGGTTTTTAAAAAGATAAGTGCATTAAAGCCCGGAGGGGGGGGTGCTCCCTGCTTGTGAAGCTGGAGCTTCAGCCTCCTTTTCAAACGCACAGCGATGGGCCCAGCGTGCACGGCCCGGGGCGCCCCTCCTCACCTGCCCCTCCTCCTCCTCCTTCTCCTTCGTCTTCTTTTTCCCAAGGGGAGGGCGAGGGCGACGGGGCCGAGCGGCGACTGCCCTGCCCAGCTCCTGCGAGTGACCGCAGCTGCTCGGTCTCCCTCCGTGCCGAGGACTCGACGGCATCTTCGTCCCGCGACGGGCAGAGGGACTTCGCCAGGTTGAGAGACAGCATGACTAAGGCAAGGAGCACCAGCAAGACGACCAGGCAGTCGGAGACTGACACGGGCTGCATAGTCGCTAGACTTCGTCCTCCACGGGAAACGAAAGTGAAACGCAAGCCACGAAAACGCGAAGGCTGCCTCGCTTGCGCTCCTCCCTCACCGGCAAGCGCCTCTGCGTGTTGGGCTCTGCTCCTGCACGAGCGCGCAGGCCACGCCAAGAGGGCACTGGGGATGGCCCACGCAGGGCTGGAGCCCCCCTCGGTCTCCGGAAGGCCCTCTGTCCCAGGGCGCGGCTCTTGCTGACAAAGGGCGCCACGGCTCCCAGGGCCTCCTGCGCCTGGCCTCCCGGGATTCGTTGGCCCCTTGCGCCTGAGGGTTTTCTCCTGCAATCAAATGCCTTCCGCTTTCTCATCCATGCACCCGTTTTTACAAATAGCGGTGTCCGTAGGGGACAGTGTCCTCTTCGCAAATGTACGAAGAGCCCCTCTTAGAATTATGCACATGTGTGTCTTGCTTTGGTTCTGTAGGCCTGAGTCCTAGAACTTGTTGGCGCTTAGCACCATCTCAAGGCCATTTAAGCAAAATGGAATTTTGCTGCAGCACGGTGGACCGCATTGCAGGACAGACGGTTCTTCTCCAGCCGCACATCCATTCCGCACATTAGAACGAGAAGGGATTGGCCTTGGAACAGGTCGGGCATGTTTTGAAATGTTGACAAAGTCAGATTCACCTACGTGTTTGGCATGAGGCCACCACTAAAATGATCAAGTGCTGGTTTAGATTTCCCAAAAGAACGAACAATCCCAGATGCATTTTACATGATTTGGCACCCTTTGAACATTCCAGAAAATAGGTTACCATTTTTGTTACCTTTTCGTGCTGTCATGTCATCTCCAACTTGCTAGTGTCCATGCAACAGAATGCTGGAGCAGGTTGCTTTAAATAATTTTCATGTTGTATTTCCCCAGTGCTGTGAGTATTCTGTTGCCATTTTCCAGGAGCCATTTTTTGTTGGGTTGCACCTTTTGTGGGAAATGCATAATAACCTGGTGGAGATGGCCCTCCAAGTAGGAGTGTAACCACTGCAATGCAGTGCCCCCTGCTCCCATCTCGGCTGCCCCAGAAGGATACTGTGGTTGATGATATCAAAAGCTGCCAAGAGGTCTAGTTATCTGACCATGACAAAGAGGCTGAGTCAAAGTCCTCCACACCTAGGACACCACCCCCATATCCAGCTGCGAAGACCAAGTCTAGAGAATGCCCCGTGCATTAGGTCGATGACATGTTGTCCCATGGGTGGCCAAGAAGTGCTGGGTCACTCTGGATAGGATGCCCTCAGCGTGGACCCTGGACGTCCCCCATAATATTCAAGATCAATATGCAAGACTGATGGGTTGCAGAGTGGGTGGTGCACCACCAGAATCCCCAGTCGGTCCCTCTGGCCCAACGCAAGGTGCAAAACTCCAGATCAGTTGTCAGATGGACAAAGCACCTGCAGAGAGAAATTGAATTCTTAGAGTCTGGCAGCCTCTGCTCCCCTTAGCCAGTTTCAGGGCCTTCATTTGAGGAAAAGGTGGGATGCTGTGAATTAAGTAACTATATGCATATTTAGTTAAACTTCTTAAATGATTGGCCAGTAATAGCCAATGGTTAACACACAGAATGATTATGATGACAGCAGGGGGAATTCACTTTGCATAAAAATACCTCTGGCTTGCCTCTTAATATGAAGCCACGCTATCTCTGTGTAACATCTAGCAGAATCTCCGAGTCACCTGTGTTGTCATATTCAAAATCGTTCAAATGGGACATCTGCACCGACTTCTATTATGAAAAGTGTGTTAGCAGCTAGTTAACACAAAGACCATTTAATCACAATTTTAAAAATAATTAGTAAAAGCCTACATTCATTAATGCCGAAAAAGAGTCTAGGTCACTGTAATTCTAACAATTATGAAGAATTTAACAAATGTATTAAGGTCCAATGAGGGTATTAAAAGGAAGCACATGCATAGACAGGCAAATAAAATGCAAATTTATTATGTATATAGCAACAATCCCCCCTCCCCCAGGAAATTCTTTCTGCACAGATGTGTGAGATGGTCAGTCAGGCATATCATGGGGCTTAGGGCGATTCACCCACACTTGTGCCTAAGTAGGTACCCCGTGGCTCTTGCTGAGGGGAGCGAAGGAGTGAGGTGGTAAATATACCTAGGCATCAAGGGGAGAACATGAAACCAGGGTTGCTGTTTGTGACAGCCCCCAAACTAGCATCAAATTCTACCCTTGGTGGGCCAGGCAAGTCTCCTCCAAGACATCATCCTTCCTCAGTAGTTGCTTTCAGAGTGGTTTTACTAGATCAGGCCAAGAAAAATGGGAAATAACTTCTATAAACTGATTTTTGTGACATAATCCTTCATTAGACCTAGGCACATCTCAAGTACTGCATCCAGTTCTGGGCACCAGTGTCTAAGAAAGATGCAGACAAGTTGGAAAGGGTTCAGAGGAAGGCATCAAGGACAGAAAACAAAGCCCTATGAGGAGAGATGGAAAGAATGGGGCATGTTTAGTCTTCAGAAGGCTGAGGTGATATATGATAGTACTCTTCAAGTACTTGAAAGGCTGCTCCAAAGATGAAGGACAGGATCTCTTGATCATCCCAGATTGCAGGACATGGAATTAGGGGCTCAAGTTACAGGAAGCCAGATTCTGGCTAGATATCAGGAAACATTTCCTGACTGTTAGAGCAGTACAACAATGGAACTCATTACCTAGGGAGGTTGTGGGCTGTCCCACACTAGAGGCATTCAAGATGCAACTGATCAGCCAGGGACAGCTTGGCATGGTAAGTCTGGATCCACTAAGAGAAGGGGACAGAGTGAGACAGACATATCCAAGGAGGCAAATGGAGAGGCCTTGTGAGAAGGAACTGGGAGAATCTCAATGGAAGGGAAGCCCTGCAAGTGGTGAAGAAACACGCACACACATTCACTGCAGCATGTTTACTGTGAGCATATAGGAAAGATAGACATGTACACTTTGGCTTCTTTTACTCATGCCATGTCTTTTAGTGTCTTGTAGAGCTTGTTGAGATTCTGCAGCTTCTCTTTCAGTTTGGTAGCCTTCTGCCTGATCTCTGTAGCCGTTTCTGCCTTGGCTCCCTCGGTCAAATGTTTAGCATCTTGCACGATGCCATAGGCATCAAACAGGAGAAACACCCCGGCAGTGGTGGCACTCAGCAGCCTCGCACCTTTGCTCATCGCAAGGGTGGTTCCTGAAAAGGCCTTCTGCACATGTTTGATGCCCTTGACTCCTCGGGATGTGCTTCCTGAGGCAGCAGTGGCTCGCTTGGCCAATGCCTTCAAGCCAGGATTAGCGCGTGCAATCTTCAGTGCCCTGATGTTCGTTTTGATCCCCTTCGCAGCCCTGTACACGCTGGGAACTTGACCAGCAACATTGGAAACAAGGTGTTTGACGTTTTCACCCACAGTCCCATAATCTGAGGCCAGTCCAGAGGCAAAATCTACTCCATCAGGATATAGCACCTCTCTCAGGCTCTTCTCACATTCATTCAGCAGCTCTTCTGCTCTTTTCCTTTCCTTTGAGTTATTCACATTTTCATATAAGGCAGCAGAAAGGCCCGTCACTGTTGCTGCTGCCCCCAAGCCAATCCCGGTGGCTGTCAGGAATAGGCTCCCACCTGCAGTGACAGGAGCCAAGGTGAGACCCAGGATGGTCAAGATGCCAGAAGAGGCACTTGTAGAGTTGGCCGCAATGCTGGCAATGGTGCACTTCTTATGCATCTTGTCAATGTTGCTGGCGATTTCCTGAAGACACCGGATGCATTTTTCGATTTCTTCTTTCTGGGCAGGAAATTCTTTCAGAAAGCAGGCATCAGAGTCCCTGGCCATTTCTTCCCAGGGATTATTTCCTTTTCTGTAAAAATGACAGGAATGCTCATTAAAAGACCCCAGATATAGAAACATAGAAACAGAGTGAGTCAGAAGGGGCCTCCCGGGCCATCTAGTGCAGATGCACCTTGGGGTGTCGCACAGCTCATGTACAAGCCAAACACTGAGAAACCAAGAACCCTTTTTCTAGGAATGTGAGCAAACAGCAACCCAGCCAGTCACCCACTGAGCCAAAGCATTCTCATGCGGGCATCAGGCACGTGACTGTGACATGTCGCAGAAACATGGAGACCGCTAAGACCTACTATTTTAGGTCTGTCCAGGTGCCCACTGCTGATGGGCAACCGCTGCCTCTGCCTTCTGATAGTTCTTGATCTTTCAGCCAGACGGGGCCCCTCTTTTAACGAAGGATGCCTTCACGCGGGCAACTGCTCTCGGACAGCCCCTCAAGTAGAGGAGCCACCTCAAGTCCCTCTGTTTGGATCAGAGGCTCCAAGTCAGCCTGCTCTAGATGTACCACATGGCACAGGATTTTTTTTTATTTAAAAATGTAGTAACCTGCCCTGAGTTCCACACAGAAAACAGGAAATGTGGAAGCAATGTGTGTGTGTGTGTGTGTGTATCACTGTGAGAAAAGAGGGAGGATGGTAGGGGAAACCATGAATAGGAGAGAGAGAAGCCCCTATGTTCTACTATCTGTTTCTAATGAAATATTAGAACTATGATAATGCTGTTAGGTATGACTTTTCCTTTGCTTTCTTGGTGATTCAGTGGTAAGTGTGCTAGCAGCATTTATTATGTATCTGTTTTATTTAATTTGCTTAGCGGAGGAGGTAGTGCTGCCTCTTCTGAGTCGTTTTGATATATACTGAGAGCAAAAAAAAAAAAAAAAAGTACTCCCCATTGAAACAGAATGTGGGCCTTCATGACATTGTTTTCCTCTGACAGACCATGACTGTTCAACCATGTATTCTATGAAGAGAACTCATGGTTTGTTGTTGGGTTGTGAAATGTGTGTTGTTCATCATGGTTTGTTATCTCAGCTGAGTTTGGAGAACACGATAACCCATAGTTCTACGACAACCCAAATGTAAACCTTACTCAACACTTGAATGTGAGTTAATTGTGTTGGTTGAACTCAGTCTGTCTCTCCAAATCTACTTCGGAGAGCTATTGCGAGGATAAAAGAGTGGCAGGGGCAAGACATATTTTGCTTAAATAAAAACGACGTCGTCTGCTGGCAGAACGGCAACAAACAGGGAACCAACCCAGCTTTCCTCAGCAGGGAACTTCTTGGAAGAGCCACGAGGAAGGTCCTTCTTCACATAACCACCCAATGCATTTCTGAAGGCAATGCTCCTGAGAGAAGGTCCTCCTGGTCAGGCTTGTATGAAAGAAGGTGGCCCTTCAAGGAGCCAGGCCCCAAGCTATATAAAGTTTCATTGGCCATACCCAGAACTCTGAATTGTTCCAGGAACTGGACTGGGAGACCAGTGTAGCTGTTGTAAAAGGGAGTCATGTACTCCCTGTAGTAAGCCCAGTCAACCATCTGGTCTCGTCATGTTGGTCCAGCTGAAGTTTGCAAACAGTTTTTAAGGACAGACCAAAATACAGTAGTCTAAACAGAATGCAAGTAAAACATGTATGACCACCCCACTCTGGCAATGAAGACTATGCCAAAGTCTTTAAAATAATGCCCATCATCATCATCATCATCACCACCACAATGTTGTTCAGCTTGGGACCACCATGGATAGGTTTGGGAAGCTTAAAGCTGTCTTCCCTTTCAGCTACTTGTTTTCTGAAATCAGGTTAGTTCCTTGGAGAAGTTGTGAAATTAGACAAAACATATCAAAATACACAGCTGTGCTTGGTTATCTCAGGGTGCTTTCAGGAGTAAGCAGAGTGCATTCTGGGACTTACATCTTGGAAGAACTTATCAGCAAAGCACCACACCGCCACAATCAGTCCAAAGGCATCTTTTAACAAACAGCACTCTTCTCCCAATCCTCTCCCTTCTTACTGCTTTGCATATATTTGTATAAGTACATGGATTGTAAAAGATTAATTGGACCAAAAATAATCTTATAATTCCCTCTAAAGGGGAAGAAAAAGTGGTTCAAGATACAAATGGGAAGGGAAAAAAACATCAAAAGGTAAAAAAGAAGATGAACTTGCAAGAAGATTAGGACTTGCTGGGTACCAATGAGAATAACAAGCCACTCCCCAAAGCTCAGATGATGTTTTGTTGATTTCCCTTTTGAGCTCTTCAGACCAAATCAAAGTAGAAACATAACTGAGTGAAATGGGTCAAGTTTCCACAATAAAAGCAAAAGGTTTGACTCGCAAAATGGAGAGAACAAAGCCAAACTGGTACTGAGGTGAACATTTGGAGTAGATCCTCAGAGGGGGCTGACTTGGAGCCTCTGATCCAAATAGAGGGATTTGAGGTGGCTCCTCTACTTGAGGGGCTGTCCGAGAGCAGTTGCCCGCGTGAAGGCATCCTTCGTTAAAAGAGGGGCCCCGTCTGGCTGAAAGATCAAGAACTATCAGAAGGCAGAGGCAGCGCTTGCCCATCAGCAGTGGGCACCTGGACAGCCGACTAAGCAGCACAAGGGATGGACAGACGGGGCTCAGTTGTATTTGCGTCAATTTTACATGAAACCTTTGCTAAGTCCACTCGATCCTGTCTGAATCAGCATGTAGAAGTTTTATTTTATAATCCATGTGGAATTCTTTTTGAAACAAACTGAAACAGGTGATCTGAGGCCCTCCGTTGCAGTAAAGGAAAAGCAGCCCCAGGTAATAATCACTCTGGACAGCTAGAATGTGTCGCCACTGCTGCATGCATTGCAAGTGGGGTGGCAAGTGCTTCTGGGGCGCAAGGATCTTGCCCCTTCCAGGGAACCTGAACATGTCCGGGAAGAGGATGGTGTGAAGGCAGCCCCTTCTTTTCATACAAATTTTCCAGTGAACCAGTGGCCCTTCTAAGAACAGAAAGGTCCCAGGAGGGCACAGAGAGTGCCAAATGGCTGCTGATCAGGGCTGTAAAGTGTAGATTTCATTGCTTGTTACAAGTAGGTAAACCACCTGACTGCTTCTTTTCCCATGAAGACTGGGAGTAGCCCTGTGGTTGTTTGTGGTTGTTTTCTTCTTAAACTTGTTAATTATTGATCATCATTCCACAAACATTTAACACCCTGAACAAGGTTTAACTCAGTTTACGCATGTGCACGCACACACACAGCCACGCACACAGCCACAGCCACGCACACAGCCACACACTGGTTACCTCTCAGGGTCAGTTGCATCCTGCAACATTTCCATGTAGTAATCGCCATCTTCGTCCAGGAGACTTTGCCACTGTTCATCGTCCAGACTGGCTGACAGGTACTCAGAGTGTTCCGGGTCATCCTCATACTCAAGATCTGCTAAATCACCCCAAACACAAAGTTCCCTCTTGTTATGCAGGGGGGCATCAAAACACACCACCGCTTGAAAAGCTAAGTGCAATGACCTGCCTAGAACAGGGGTAAAAATGAGGAGCGTGGGCAGCATGCGAGGCACCACGCTGCTTCTGAGGGGCCCCCAGACCATGGAGCCCAGTCAGAAACCTCCCTTACTAGTGCTAGCCAGGGAATACTTTCCCATATCTCCAGTCTCTGAGGAGACTCCCCTTATTGCTGATCTCTGATGTGGAATCAGAAGGAAGGGAAGGTGCTCCTTTGCCAGCAGTAACAATACAAAGAGCACCCTGGCAAGGGAGTCCCCCGGCTTGTGTGCACACATGCTTCTGTTACCTTGCCAGTGGGTTGTGTGGATGCAGACCCTTCCCGTCCCAATCACAAAAGAAGCTTTCAAAGGGGACCTTAAAACTGAAAGGTGCACAGGGCCAAGGCAGCCACTGGGAGACCTGCCAAAAGAACACACGCGAGGCTGCATTCCACGTTAGAGCCTTTGTCTGGCTTCCCAGAATTCTGGGTAGAGAAAGGCCTTGGCAGCACCTCCTAGCTGAGCCTTGGAACCAGAGATGCTTGCGATCGAACTTGGGATCCTCTGCAGGCAACACGTGTGCCCCAACCAAGAGACCCACCTTCACAGCTCTGGCGTTCTTCAGAGGCCATTCCACCAGGTCCTTCGAAGCTACTAAGTAGTTAGACCTGTCTCTTCTCAGCCTGAGATCATTCAAGCCTGGGAAGGAAATTAAGTGTGGAAAATAAGGATGGAGGCGGATCACAACAAAAATGGCAACTCTTGTGAAATGATCTTCATCAGTGTTCTTACCAGTTTTAATCATGCAATTATTACTGTGGTACTGAGTCCCATATGCTGCTTCCAGTGTGATACTCAGAAGTAAGCTGATTGGGTTTTCCCCCCCTGTGGATCACCATCTCTACAATTGTTGTTATTAGTCACACAGTCGTGTCCAATCCATCACGACCCCAGGAAGAACATTCCTCCAGGCTCTCCTGTCCTCCACCATCCCTCGGAGTCCACACAAGCTCACACCCACTGCCCCAGTGACCCCATCTAGCCACCTCATCCTATGTACATCAATTTACATCAATTTATGCGATTTGCAAATCACAGTATTTTATATATTATATGAAAATCAGCACCCCAAAGCCTGTAGTTGTCATCTGATTTGTGCAACTGGCACCATCTGCTCTTTTGGGGTGCCATTTTGTGCAAGTTGGCTGATTTTATATAATTTTCCTTAGTGGCTTTGTAAAAAAAATGAACAAACAGCAGCCTGCCTTAGAGACAGACACCTGCAACCTGGCTCAACTTGCATCACGCTGAGTGGCACCACAGCAGAGCTGGCAAACCAGGAGGGGGGTGTTGAATCATGAAAATCCGTCAGCCGCCCTCTTGGATTGCTCACACATCCCTAGTTCCTTTTCCCTATTCTCGGTCTGTCTGAAAGCAATGTTATCCAGAAACCATGATATTTAGTAGAATGTAAGAAAATAAAATATGTTTTCTACTTATACCTTCCATACATTTAAAATTGTTAATCATTTTGAGAACTATCAGAATTCATCTATGATTAGTTAGTAGTTTAATGATTTATGAAAGGCTGGGAAGGAAGGCTGGACATATCATAGGGAAATGGATTGGGACATGATCATAGCGCATACTAAGTACATTTCCTACAATTAACAGCTCATGAAAAATATGTGCTCATCCAAAGGTATTTCTCCGTTCGTTGTTTGAACTACTCCCCTCTGTTGTTTTTGCAATGATTTGTTTCACAGCAACAAACAAAATGCTTGTCTTTTTGCTAAATACGAGACAAAAATGAAACTAAGAAAGAAATACTGAACAAACCAGCTTCTGTATGCACAGAGACGGGTGCTCAGAGGACCTGATAATGCTGCTTGTCCTTTTCTATACTGTCCTATTTTCCTTGTTATAGTATCAAGCCAACAACTCACATCTGCCTGCTGAATATTAGCTTGGCAAGATCAAAATAGCTAATCAGATCCTCTCAGGCTTACCTTTTTGACTTGCTTGAATATCTTCCACTAAACTGAACACAGAGCTGCTTTCAGGGAGTAGCCTGAGCTAAGTTCCTAGTTAATTAGTAGAAGAGAAAATTTCAGCTAGACTCATAAAAGGACTTGGAGTTTGGATAGCAAGAAGATAGCACGTATCTTCATATCTTCACCTTGTCCAAGATGGGGGTGGAGAGGATTTGGAAAGAGGCCACTTGCCCACGGATGCCGTGTCTGCCCCATGGAAGAATGTAATGGTGATTTTACAGTAAAGGAGACGGTGGCTTTTGTTGACGCAGCCAGGATGCCTTTCTGAGATCAGTTACTGTGGCTACCCATAAACAGAGCTAGTGTGGTGTAGTAACCAATCACTTTACTGAGGCTTTGGCTTCTGGATTCTTTGTGGGGGTAAGATCAGCTTCTTTACACCTGCTTCTACCCCCCCCCCCCTTTCTTTCTTTCATTTCTACTGCAACAACATGAACTGCAAAAATGCATGAACTTCTCATTTTGGTTCATTTCACCGTTTCCAGATAATACTACACTTTCCTTGATCCAAACATAAAAAGCTGGCAGAAATGCCTGGAAGGCACGGGCAAGCTTGGAGGATGCCAACGCCAAGCAAACCCCACTTGAGAGAGGAAACAGGAGCGCATGATAAAGGCTTCATGGAGGGGAGCACAGAGTGTTCGGCCAGGACTGTGGAGACGCAGGTTCAAGTCTGTGCTTGGCCACTGGGGAGTTTTCAGATATGCTTTTGTGGCACAACCGATGCCCTCTTCCACACACAGTGGGGGGCTTTCCCTCAACTTCTTCCATCTTTTCCCTACCACAGAAAATTCATCAGGGAAAAGAATGGTATTAACAAACTGGTCAGCCACCAAACTGGTCAGCCACCTGTCAATAAGCCATTCAAAATATGTATGCATTAATTCAGTTGATTTTTCCAGTGATTCCCATTGCCTGGAATAAAAGAGGAAGCATCTGACTAGGTCAAATTGCACCTGCAAACTTTCTTAAACAACTATTTAGCCTTCATTCACTGCTGCTGGTGGTTATGAGTTTAAGGTGTGCTCATTTGCAATGTTCTTTATAAAGCAAAGGACTGCTCAGTATTCCGCACCACCCCTACATTGCCTTTATCTGTTTAAATCTGAGGCATTCAAGCCACAGTCTGAGTTTTTGTACAAGAGACAGATATTGTGGAATTGATTCCTTACTTGTGGTTGGGTATGATGTAATAATCCTTCAGTTTGGTTCTATTTTACAGAGCACTTTCCTGGGTTCCTTTAGAGTGGGGAAATGGGGTATTATATTAGAATGGGGGAAATGGTGTTGCTTTTCCTTGTGTATTTGAGTTATTCCCATAGAGCAGAGCCCCAACTAGGAATTATACAGCAGAAAAGCTGTTTATGCAGAGCTGTGATCACAGCATGGCAACAAAACTGAAAATAGATATGGCAATGAACAACTTCCTTGTGGAAAAACCCTATGACTCAACAAGACCATGGGAAGCCGATTTGTGTCAGGGAGGGAACTGGGGGTGGGGGTCAAGGAAAAACCCACTAATGAAAGGGGAAAGGATGGAATAAAAGTAATCCAATTTTCCAATGCCAGCAGTTGGGAGAATATAGGTCTGGACATACTTAAAGATCTCTGGGTGATTTGCCAGAATGATCTCAGATTCCCAGTGGCTTAACACTGGCAGCTGTGTCCCCCATTCTAAATTATACTGTTGAAATTAAGAAAGATTGTGGTCACTAGGAGTAGCCTTCTGCATGGAAGCATTGTGCAATCCATTCCGTTCTGGTGCTCAAAACCGATGCCTCCAAATTTGCTAATTTTAAGAGTAGGATCCTAATGGCATCAGTCCTCTGGTTAGCAAATCTTGTGGTTCTAGTAAAAATCAAAGCAGCTCCTGCAAGACGGCCTGCCCTGCCCTGGCCACATCCTGACGCGTGCATTAATTTCTACCATAGAACAAATGGTGAGAGCTGGTGGTGCTAAAATTGTATACAGTGCAACACTCTTAATTTATGATCAATTTCCAAGATTCCAGGTGGGAATAATACCAAGTGGAGCAGCCAAGTTATATAAGGTGACCACATGTCCCCCTTTACAGAGGACTGTCCTCTCTTTGAAGGATAGTCCAAGTCTGCTTTATCGATAAAGAAGCAAAAAAATGGAGACCCAGCAGGGGCCCTTGAAGTTGCCCATCAACAGCACCCAGAAAGCGCCTGAACAGGCAGAAACTCAAGTCACCTGTTCCCAGCCTTACTTCTGTATGAACTATATTGGGATGGATTGTATTTCCATTTAAATTGCCTTTTTTGTGAGCTTACTAGGGAGCTTCAGCTGTTGGGTGGGATAGAAATGGAATAAATAGATCTTCTTTAAATGCATCTATGCCTATAAATTAACATGGGCAAATGTGCTAATTGCTGCTCTAAGTCTGGTGGTGCAATCCCACCTTTTTGGTGATGCTGAAGGACAGCAGGGGCTCAGACCTGGCACACTCCGCTCAGTTAAGCACGACAAGGATGAGAGCTGCAAAACTCCATTTTATTCTCAAGACAGTTTGATTGCTAGCAAGAGGCACAATTGACCCTGAGCACATGGAGCAGTCCTCCTTTATACCTGTGCTGACCAGGTCGCAATGACAGAAGTCCATTGGCTGAAGATTCAGGCCATGATCACTGGTTGGTATGGTGGAATTCTGGTGGCTCCCACTCTTACCTGGGAGGCTGGGCTACCTGGGGGTTGGGCTGGGAGCAGTGGCTGGAGATCGCTCAGTCTCTGGCTGTGTGTAATTCTTTGATTTACTTCCATGATGCCTGTGGATGTGATCTGCCTGCCCGGGCAAAATGCTGGCCAGCCAGGGATGTTCTACAATGCAAAAGTGGCCTCTGTCAGAATGCCCCCATATCGCTTCCACAGAACAGAAGCTATTCTATCTGGACAAGCAAAGAATCAGCTGGCCCGGAGAATTCATCCAGCTGCACAAATGGCAGCATCACACCAATAATTCTGTGCATTTGCACATACATTAAGAGCCGAGTGATCTTTTCCCAAGTGAACTAAAACTGCTGCAAAATGCAGGAAGTGCTGTGAATAAATGGAAGGGTAAGTTGGAGAGTTCCCAGCAAGTTTGGCTGCTTGCCTGTAACTTGCTAATGTCACTTTTAGGATTGAGGACATGAAAGTTCAGGAATGATGCCATCAGGCTAGGGAGAAATAACAAGCAATTGTAAGAGGATTGTGTGGACGTCACAATAGCTACAAGTGTATTTATGTGTTTGCCTAGCAATTATACTTGAAGTCTGTCATTTTAAGTGTAAGGTTTAGAAGACTATATGCTGGGAAAAACAGATGATTTAAAATAGTCATGATCTTCCATCTGTTACTCCCAAATGCAATATCCATCATTTAGGCCTCTACTGTACAGAGATGGTTTATGTAGCCCATCTCGACTTGACAGATATGCATTTGCTCAGGGATAATTGATGTCAAAGCTAATAGCAATTTGCATCCTGTTAATCAGATGTTAATGAGCCCACCTGCTACCTCCTGTCACTGACTTTCTATAAATCTGGGTGTTTAAATGGCACATTTGGTTCCCCTGCCCTGTGGAGGTGAATGGAAGATGCTTGCATCCACTGCCTTATAGTAGCTTCACCACCTTCACAACATGCTGTGGCACCACCCCAGAATTTTTCTTTCCTTTTTGCACTGTGTCATAAATGATCCAGCAGTGAACCCAAATAAGGCTTCTCCTGCTGCATTTCTCCTGTAGGGCCAGCAGAGGGCAGTAGCTCATGGACAAATGGGTCTCATACAAGGCTGGATTAAGCTGTGGGAAGGCAACGTTTGTATGGGTTGTAGGCATTACTTTTTAGCAAAGTTCTTGGGTATGCTGCTGTTACAGCTTGATGAGTAATGAAAGTAGATCTGGATCAGGCCAGTTCTGGGGGGAAATAACCAGAGAAATTGTCATTACCTTGCCACTGATTCACCACCTGGTCTTTGGGTTGTTCTTCAGGAATCACTTCACAACTGTATTTCAAACAGCCTATATTTGCACCCATGTAAATGCATCACAGGCATGGAAAGAAGGGCTCTGGCTGGTCCAGAACGAGCAGAACAAGAGCAAACCTATTTCGGGAGTAGGGTTATTCACCAGGAATGCCTGCTTAAAATTTTAGATGAAGCCACTGCCACCGATGCCACCTGCCTCCACCTATCACAGAATGGGCACGCATCCTGTTTTACAGAGGTCAGTCACTGCAGGATACAGGGCCTGCCCCCCACCCCCGGTGGAAGCAGATGGGCAGCAGACCCACCAGGAAGGCGAGAGGGAATGAGTGCTGTTGATTCAGGAGCAGGAATGCAGGTCTAAGTCTCAGGAATCCTCAAGTGCAAGGGCTGATTTCCTGTCCTCAGCCACCTCCAGCATTTATTCATTCATTTTGGTTTCAAAACAACTGGAGCTGCTAAAAGGGTTAGGGAGTGGATAAGAAATACACTCTCTTAGTTCTTGCTGGGAACGATGGCAAGGTCAACTGGGTGTCTGTTGATAAACAGGAACAGTCCTGGCACTTGCTAGACTTCAGTTCTGAGAGCCAGATCAGCCTTTGTGCCAGAGATCCATGACTGATGCTTTTATTTTTAATTCAGAGTCAGAATAGGGCCTTTGCATTTTATTTATTTATTTATTTGCTAGATTTCTGTCCTGCCTTTTTCTTTCTTGCAGAACTCAGAGCAGCTTGTATCATTCTGCTCCTCAGTCTTATCCCCACAGCAGCAGCCCTGTGAGGGAGTCTGTGACTGGCTCAAAGCCACCCACTTGGCTCCTGGGCTGAGTGGGGACTAGAACCCAGATTTCCTGAGTCCCAGTCCCACACTCTTAACCACTGCACCACACTCGCTCTCAAAGCAGTGACACAGAGGGTCTTTCTCAGCTTCCTTCATTCCCTGCTGGTGATGAGGGAATACCTATATTTCTCTCCCCATGGCAACAGCAACAACTTGGTGGTGTGCAATTTAGATTCTGGAAATGTCATGGTAGTGGGGGAAAGTTCCCCAGGCTCTGCTGACTCACTAGCTGATCGCCCATGTAATATTTTCTTCTCAAATACAGAACTCACGATTCTGACGTTGCCTTCTGTGCTCTTGGGATGGAAGCTGAATGACAGGTTCCTGGCACCGCGTGCGGTCAATGCCCTTTCAGTTTGGCCATGGGATCTATGCCAGTCTGATACCAGACACAGAGATTATTTCATCTGGGCCCACCACAATAGCACCTGACTCAAAATAGCTAGAGAAAGAGAGCGAGCGTTTGACGAGAGTGACCTAGACGCGAGTTGTCAAGTGACAGGTGTCAGTCTGTAAGTCCGCCTCTTTAAACCCACAAGTCCCATGGCTCACACTCCCCTCAAGGAAGCACAGGCACAGGCTGCTTGCGTCTCTTCAGCTACAGGGCTTGCTTTCCATTGTTCTTGAGCAGGGCGCTATGGGGCTAAGTGATGAGGAATGGAAGAAGGTCGTGGACATCTGGGGGAAAGTGGAACCAGACCTCCCCTCCCATGGGCAGGAAGTGATCATCAGGTAAGCAGAAGCCTGTGACGGAAACTGGAGAAGCTGTGCTCCTGAGACATCGGCAGAGTGGCATTTTAAATCCCTCCTAGGAAGATGGCTAAGAGTTTAAAAATTATATGGGCAAAACAGAGGTGACGATCCCCTGGCAGATGAATAGAAGAACTTCATTTTTTGCCTTCATTTGTATCAGCTTTTTCATAATTAGATAAGTTATTCAGCTTAAGAGAGTGTTTCAAATCCTCTCCACAAGGTGTTTTGAACTGTTGCCATTTAAACTGGCATCACTGAACAAATGATTAACAATGACAAACAGAGAGGATTAGGACAGGAAATGGCAGTCCTGCTTGCCAGGATTGATAGGACTCTGTGAGGTGAAAGCCCCTTTTCTCCTTCCCTATATGATGTATCCTTTATATCAAAATGAACACCTGGTTAAGAGGAGCAACGTGCCTCCCCACAACCTTCTGCATTACTTTATTGCACAGTTTCCTATTAATAAGCAATTTCCTCCCAGGTCCAGCTCACTTTTGGCATTAGGGCTGGGATAAAACTGCTTAACGTTTCCGAATACAGGGAGGTGAGGAAGGGATGGGGCTTCTTTTCCTACCTTTGTGTGCTTCTTTTCGGTACAGAATAGTTTGCACACTGTACATATGACTGAGGAAGCTCTCGAAAGACAGCTGTCCATCTCATCAAGTTTGATTCTGTTTTCACTGGGGGTAGAAGAACTTACTCCAGACTAAGGGCTGGATTCTATTTTGGAAAAGGTTTTGGGGAGCAACCCAACATGGGTGGGACTGAAGATAAGGCAAGGGAGCAAAATACTAGAGCTGGGACCAACCATTCTGGAATCTGTGCTGCTAGCACCTGCAATTTTTTTCTCCTGCTGGGCCCAGTCCTGCAAAGCAAGTGGAGCCAAGAGGGCCTCCATAAATGCTCAGTGACCCCCAGTTGCACAACTAGCAGCCTCCCCCATCAGAAGCAGCTGCAGGAGGTGGAAAAGGGGTGCAGGAACTTGGACTGGAGTCTGAGGAGCCGAGCCTAGGGAATCTGATGGATTCCCCCTGCAGATGGGGTCCTTACACATCCCTACAAAATACCATCCCCCAGCATATTTTACTGCCAAACTCGCAGCATAAGTAATTAATGAGAGAGGCATTTCTGTCATTTTGAATGGGGTAAACACTGCATTTGAAGCACAGTGCTGGAAGGCAGCTTTGCAAATTCCCTAGACTGACCAGAAGATGAATAGTTGGGTCCTAGAGGAAATCAAACCAGAACTTTCCCTAGAAGCAAAACTGACAAAACTGACACTGTTGTACTTTGAGCACATCATAAGAAGGAAAGACACACTGGAGAAGATAATGATTCTAGGAAAAGTTGACGGCAGAAGAGGAAGGAGAAGGCCAGCAAGGAGATGGATTGACTCCATAAATGACATCACAGCCTTGAGTTTACAAGAGCTGAGCAGGGCTGTCAAGTATAGACTTCTATTCATAGGTTGCATAAGTTGGAAATGACATGATGGCACAGAACAAAAACAAAAACAACACAGAAGCTGTGAAACTGCCAACTGATCTGCATAACCCTAGTGGGCCAGATTAGAGCCCCAGGAGGGCTGGATTTGGCCCCCTGAGATTCTGCACCCCTGGTCTCTGCTGAGCTACATACCTGAACCCTATGATCTCTTCCCCAATCAGTGATGTGTAAAGTTGGGATTGTGTAAAGTTTTTTCTGTCACCCCACTGTGTGCTTACATGCACTGAACCCATTTTGTGTCCTCATCGCCTGTGAATTCGGTCATCTCATTGCTCACCTTTGGTTCCAGATCATTGATGAACAATGCAAACCGCACTGGTTCGAATACAGACTCTTCGTAGGCCCTTTTCCTTCCAAGCCATGGGTTGACCGATCATTCCTACCTTTTGCTTCCTGTTCTTAATCAGCTAGTCACTCATAGGAAGCCCGTGATAGCTGACATTTAATTCTGACAGACTGAGATAACACAGAAATTAAGATAGTGGCTGGGTTCACATGACATGACTATGTGGATTGCTACCCCCTGATGGATGACTGTGTCGTGTGAACCCAGACCCATCTTCCCAGGGTGGTTTATTGGAGGGCAAAAGCCATTCCAAAAACTTGTGGATTTTTGTAGGGGTTGCTGTACCCCTGAAGAAGTATCATGTCATTTGAATTCGTGTTGTCAGCTACTGATTCCCTTGCCAAGGGCAGCCAAAAGCTCCTGCTGCTCTTGGAAAGTGTTTTCTGGGTTTTTGCAGAAAAGCCCCTTGGAGGCAACTGGCACTGGCTCCCCTCCCCTGTGGCGATTCTGAGCCTTTTGGGGCTTGCCGAGGCTTCTCTCCTCACCCCTTTAAACCTTCCCCCCCTGGAGATTGCGAAAGCCAGCTCTCAAGCTGGGTCTTGTGATCCCCGTTTTGGCAGCTGTGGACTGCCCCATGAAAGTGCATTTGTGCGCCTTGGAGGGGCTGAAGAGGGTGCCCAGCTTTTTTGAAAAAGTGGGATCTCAATAAATTTTGCAAATATCTGCAATCATTTTAAATGTTTTTGAGTCTATAGACCAGCATAATTTTCTGCGACCTGCCAACTCCCACTAGCATGATAAAAATGGTCAGACTTATAACTGCAGTGCAGTATGACCATTAATGTCTATGGGGTTAAACATGCTGAACTCTCCTGTGGATCTTGCCCTACATCTATAATCAATTTCTCCACTGATTACTTGGATTCACAATCCTAGTAAGATTGTCTTTCAGATATATGCATTTTAAAAAAAGGCCTGAAATGAATTTTGACCAGAAACTTGGCATGTTTCTTTCAACTGAGATGAGGTCCAATTAAAATGCTGGCGATTCATGCAGTTGTTTGAATTAATTTCTGAAAATGGAAACCTCTATTCTTCACTGTTCCTGCAAAGAGTGGGCTGAGGCGATGTCATAATTCCCCCATTACTATAATAAGAAGGCCCAAAATGGCATAGGTAGCTATAGGTGCGGTGCCGTGTGACAGGCATCTCCAAAGGAGATGCTATTTACTCTGCATCACTCACTCGACTGCCCAGTGAGCTCTCCAATTCCATTGGCAGAATGTTTCAGAACCACCCGGAGACCCAGGATCGCTTTGCCAAGTTCAAAAATCTGAAGACGCTTGATGAGATGAAGAACTCAGAAGATCTCAAGAAGCATGGAACCACGGTCCTGACTGCCTTGGGAAGGATCCTGAAGCAGAAGGGGCACCATGAGGCAGAAATTGCCCCACTGGCACAGACCCATGCCAACACACACAAAATCCCCATCAAGTACCTTGAGGTAAGAGTGAGTGTGTGTGTGTGTGTGTGTGTGTGTGTGTGTGTGTGTGTGTGTGTGTGTACATGCATGGGGGTGTGTGTATTGTAGGTGTGGAAAGGTGTTGGCAGATGACTGTACTTGAGTGACCCGGATGAAAGGGAAAGTTGTGAGGTCTGTATTCCCTTTTGCAGGGTGTGTTTGTGTCTGTTTGCTGCATCCTATCAAATGATACAGGAGAGCAATGTAGAAAAAGAAACTTCATTTTCTGGACACAGAGCTGTTATTTGTGCTGGGGGAAGCCACTTTCTCCTGTGTTATAAACTCATATAATTATTCCTCAGAAGTGCTTATATTTCTAGCCAAATCACTAGTTCAACACAGAGCGAATGTTATCATTAACTGGCAAATGGACTTGGCGTTGTATGAGTTTGAGTAGCCATTCTTTTGATGCGGCAATTGCACACAGTCGTCGGGGCCAGGCACGTTGCTGGCTGAGTAAAGTCAGACTGGTTGGCAAACCTAGGCATGGTGCTTGCCATCATGTGCTCCTGTTCCTTCCCTGAGGGCAGGGTCTGTCCACTCCATTCCCCTGAGGGGGTAGCCCCACAACTGGACTGCTGGACCACTCCGTCCTTTCGGCCACTACAGCAGCTGCTATTTGCTGGTTAGTGATTTCTGTCACCTAGTGGGTGAAGGTGGTAGTGCAGCTTAAAGCACACAGAGACATTTAAACCAATTAAAATGAATTCATGCATTTACAAAACCAGATAGCCTTGAGACACCCACCGCCACTGCTACCTGCCCAAATAGCATGCACACCACGTTTCAGCTGCCTAGATTGCCTGCTCTTGGTGCAATGGCGCTAGCAGACACACATTCTCTTTCATGCATGATAATAATTAATTGGTCTGCAAAGTAGTTGAACGATCCAGCCCACGGTGAGCATTTTCAAGTCCCATTGGTTTCAGTGGAAGGCTTAAGGTGCAATTATATATCTGCTTAACTGGGAGTAAATCCTATGGAAGTCCATGGGATTTATTTCTGGGTAGACACAGAGTGATTGTGCTCCAGTTATCGCCCAAGCTCCATCTGCTCTGGTATCCTGCTCCAGACAGTATCCCAAGAACCCACCCTTCTGGACCTCTGTGAGGTCACGCAAGGTCACTTTACTCACCTTGGAAAACAAGTGGGGATGAGAACCGGGGAAGGGTCTGAATCTCAAATTCCCCTTCTGAGGTTGCAGAAGGATCTATGAGTTCAGTGGGGAGAATACAAAAATATCCTATGGTCCCTGTGATTCTTTCTTGGACACCAAAGGATTGCTTTCTTAGTTCAGCTGGCATTAAAAAAAACAGTATAATACTGCATATATACAGGATCAAACAAAAATAAATAAATTCCTTCTGAAGAAAACCTGGACAAATCATTTCATATTAGGAAAAAGAAGGAGCAAATGGATAACATTATCTTGAAATTTACTGTTCCAGAATAAAAAAGCTATTTTCTAAATTTAAATCTCACAACTTTGCCCTGTGGAATCGAGGGCACTGCTGGCTACTCTGCCAATTCAAGGCGCCATGCCTCCACCGCCACTGTGCTGCCAGGCTAGGCATGCATGGCTGGCGCCTGCCTGGGCTTGCTAGCACTTGGAACATGCAGCCTGGCAGGGGCTGAGACTCCCTAGAAGGCGTGGGGAAAGGTTTATTCCCCCCCTTCTGCTTTTGCACAAAGTTTAGCTGTTCACACCATTTCACTGAAGAATATTGAGTGACTTGGTGAAATCTCAGAATGCAGGAAGCCTCTCCCCACGCGACCTGGCCTCAGGGTGGCAGCGACGGTGGCCCTGCTTCTCTCAGTCTCTCTGCCTCGGCTTTTTGTTTTAGAGTGAGCATCACCACAGCAAAGCCCTGCTTCTCACAGGGATCAATTTTTATTTTCATGCTTAAAGAAATAGCACAAAGAAGGAGAGAGAGAAAAGCCTTTCCACATGATTACAAAGAAGGGAAGAATGTATAAAGAGGAGATGTTCCCTTAAAATATCGCAGGCTCCAGCCATTCAGGGCTTAAATGATAAGATCCAACACCTTGAAAATCTAGAAAATCGCCACTAACAAGTGAGCCAACAGAGCTCTTGCAACAGAGTTGCTGCCACTTCTCAGCTGCTAGCAAGCAGCTGCAATCTCTAAACTAGGTTTCAAGGTGGTCTCATGTATAGCACATGCCAGAATACAGGGTTGCCCAGAATTTGCTGGTACTATATTGTATAAACAGTGGCATCCTAGTGGGAGAGACTGGGACCAGAGCAGCAGTGTGCCTGCACAAGTCACGGTCCAGGTGCTAAATGTGGGTTGGCTCCTTCAAGGCCCCGGCTGGCTCAACCTCCTTAGAAGGGTTCTTTAGCTTTAAACTGGGCTTGGACCGGACAGCTTTCAAATAGAGCACTGACTTTCATGAAGTAGGCCACTGTACCATCCAATTTGTTTCCCAGAGAAGCCAGTCCTGATGGGGGACTTAGGGAACTGACAAATCAATTCGGGCCCTGGGTACCCAGGCCTGGGGCATGTCGTGGCTCTTTACGATTCAGTACAGCTTAAACTTGAGGATGTTAGCGAGTCCTAGATTTCCTCCCCTCATCAAAAACACTTTCCCCCATCTTAGTGGAACCTGAAACTGGAGCAATTTGCTTGAGAAGGAATTTACTTGAGGCCAATATCTAGAATCTCCTTTCCTTTAGAAAAATGCAGCAGTAATAACTGAGTCATGCAAATAAAATGCCCAATTAAAATCAGCTCAACATAGATAAAGTATAATGAAAACTGAGCTCTCTACCATCACACACAGGCACATTCCCCATGTGGGATTATTCCCAGCTGTTAAAAGCCACTTTCAATAAAAACATGTTTACAATGTTTCAGAAAATGTTCTGAATTGTTTGTGTTTTCTGGCAAGTCTTGAGATGGACTCTCCTATTTCAGGAAGTTGGAAAGAGATTGAAACTTTCAAACACACATCTTACAAATTCTGCAGAGCCAGGAATTTTAGCTTTCAGGAATAAAATAGTATTCCAATACAGGTGGTTCTATTTTCCTGCACCACACTTTTGAGCTCAGTTTTGGAAATGGTTTGCACTAGACAGAAATAGCTTCCATGTAAGAAGATACCTGCTAGTGCACTGTTTCAAGGACAGTGTTTGTGTTCCCTGCCCCTTCGTACACATGGCACCAAACCAAGCAAACACTTGCCTAATTTTGCAAATTCCCAAATGCAAATCTCCACCCTCAGTCCACTAAAAGGCTCCATGCTTTCCCTGAAGTTCCCTGAAGACTGACTGCCCTATGCATAGAATATTTTCAAGTAAATGAACTATGGACTCCTGCCAAAATGGTTGAACATTTTAAAATGTGTCAGGCTATAATTTAAGCATGCCTACCACGAACCATCACATTATTCACACTCCCTTAAAGCATGTGTCTAAAACAGTCTTTTCTTGTTTTGGTTGCAAAAGTGACAGAGCAACCGGATCTGGAACGTGGTTCTGATCTGATTGGTGGGCAATGTCAAATTCCTGCTGAAAAATCTTTCCCTTCCTTGGCTGTTCACCCCTAAAGGTGATGTGTAAATGGTTTGAGCTCACCCTTTTAAAACAGCAGAGTAATTAAAGCATCACCTGAAAACCATGGAACAGCGAGGCCTGGGTATGACGACTTGCATGCTCGAGGAACATCAAGGGCGCCTTCAGTGGGCGATGTACCAGGCCATCTTCTGAGTCAAAGGCACACATTAAATAACTTGTGGTCTCATATTGACTTAAGATGGACCCCTCCAAACTCCAGTACTTCCTGAGGCTCATCATCACAGAATTTTTCTGCCTGTGGGATGTGGCTAGAACTTTTCTGTCACATCATCTCTCCTCAGACATAACAGAGTCAGTTCACACATTTCAGCTGCCAGTCATTAAGTGCGCAGACTTCAGGCAAGGCACATCGTCATCCTGGGGCAGCAGAAAGGAAGAGAAGGATGCTTTGGCCCCTGCTACCAGGGAGAGGACTAAAGATCCATTGCAGGTTATTATCCTGGCATTACATTACATTACATTACATTACATTACATTACATTACATTACATTACATTACATTACATTACATTTATGGCTGCCTTTCTTCCTCTTGCAAAGAACCCAGGGCAGCTGACAAAGCTCTCTCCATTTTATCTTGAGAACAACAGCCCTGTGAGGTAGGCTAACCCTGGCCCAAAGTCACTCCAACACTTGCAACCGCCACACCACACCTCTTCTCTATTCCCCAGGACATTGACCATGGCAGGAGAAAGGCCAGTGTCAGCACTGGCCAGAAAATGAGCAGTTCCAGGAAGGTGCTTCTTCCCTCTTTGCTAAGAAGGCCTTTTCTGCAACTGCCCCATGGAGTGGCCATGTGTCCTCCTTTGCAGAGGACAGCCCTCTATTTGAAGGCCTCATGAAGGGGTCCTCTGTGTAAGGGACTGTTCAGTCCCAGGTAAGAGCTGGTCCTTGAAGTTGCCTTGCCATCAGCCCTGGACTCTGGTGCGGCATGCAGGCCATCTGGTTGCAGCCCTCCACACCCTGCTGAGATGAATTGCATTTCTATTTATATTGCAATGATTGTTTCTAATGTTGCGTCTATGCTATGCTTATAAATTAGCGTGGCATTTTGTTTGCAAAACAGCACCCTCTCTTGTCCACTTTCTCTCTCTCTCTCTGTTTGGAGACGAGTGGTGTCTCTAATCACCAGCTCTTTGAATGAAAGGCAGGGCACAAATAGTTAAGTAAGAGTGACTCATCCCAAGTAAATGGGCTTAGGACTTCAATGTAAAGTTACTTAAAAATAATTTTTAAAAGAATGCACATGTTTATGCTTTACAGACGTCCTTTCCTGTTTTGAGTTGAGTATATTCCTCATGTTGGCATTTAACATCTATGCTAGACTGGCCTTTCTAACTTTGTCCCTCTCTCCCTCTCCACCCCCTATTTCTTTCCACACAGTTCATTTGTGAAGTAATTGTCGGCGTCATTGCAGAAAAACATTCTGCCGACTTTGGGGCAGATTCCCAAGAGGCGATGAGGAAGGCTTTGGAGCTGTTCCGGAATGATATGGCCAGCAGATACAAGGAGCTCGGGTTCCAGGGCTAGTGAGGATGGCAGGCAACATTTCCTTGGTGAGAGACGAGCAGCATAGTGTAGGCGTGTGCTCAGCTTAGGAGGAGAATATTCTCATGTAACTTTACAGAACAGTAGTTCGCATCAGGTTGAAAAATTCTCGGAGACTAAGGCTCAAAGTGCACATGGTGGAGCGCGGGCCCACATCTTTTTAAGTCAGCTCTACACCATTCAGATGGGGAGCTTTGGGGCATGGGCAGGATTTAAACTTTAGATTTTAAAGGGTAAGAGGCGAGCAGGGCTGCAGTGGAGCCTGGGCTTGCAGGGTCAAAGGCTTGGGCCATATTGATTAGCGGGAAGTTGTTGTCATCTGCTGCCACCTCCAGCTTTCCCCTTCCACAAGAAAGGCCACTACCCTGGATCAGACCAAAGGTTCATCCAGTCCAGCAGCAAGCCAGCTGCCCACTGGATCCCTCAGACAGCCCCCCTCTTGCCCATCAAAATTAGTAGCCACCAAAAGTATTTTCTTCCTTGTTGATGCAACATCTTTTGAGGTGGCTCAATTTCAACAGGCAAAAGACCCTTTAGAAAACTGGTTTGTTGACATGGCTCAAGACAGTGGCCTGCATTTTGGGATTCTTTCCCAAGATGTGGTTCTGGGCATTGTCATGATGAGCATCTTTTTGGCCTGCCATCCGTATTCGAGTGGTTGGTTGCCAGAAGTTGTCTCCACCCCTCAACCAGGCCCCAGTACCAGAATTGCACCCACCTGGGAGAAAGGTGTGCAGGGGATTACCCCTTTTTCATTGGCCTTTTAAATCCTACCCTCAGCTTTAGATATGAATGGGTGAAAAGGCTGCTGCCATCATATGCAGCTTGAACTGTTAACTGTGGCTGCTTTTGCTCTTCAGTATAAACTTTGCAATGTTTGGCTCGATAGAATAAAGATGATCCATAAAAGACATAGAGATGACTGCGCTGATTCATTAAAAAGTTACCTGAGGTATCATCCTCAGTACCTTGGCTAACATCCTGATGTCATACTATGGGAAGAAATGACAGAGTGCTTAGTAATACCTGGGGGAAATGTTCCCAAAGACCATCTTGAGGTTGTGTTCAGCTGTCTAGCTGTGGCATTTTGGGCGACGTGGGAAGAAGGTAGGTGCACAATCAGGAGACCTTGTGTCCTGGCTACCCCAGTTTTTCCTCGCCTTGCCCCTGGAACACCCTCTAGTCCTTCTCCAAAGTTGATTTTCCAGCTTCAGAGAAGCAGCTGACATGGTTCTGCATCAGCTGCAAGGTGGCAGTGGGGGAGTGGTATTTAGGCATGGGTCCCCAGCTCTGAGGCCAGAGTTCTGTTTCTGACCTTGGATCTGGGAATCCAAAAGCTCCTATGCCCCCTAGTTGCAGCTGGGGTGCCATAGGATTGCTCCCTTAACTTTTAGACAGCAAGTCATGAAGGATGCTCTCCTTCCACTCTTGTTCCTTTGCAAACAGGATCTCAGTTTCACCTGGCATCGGACAGGAGATATATATGAGATGCCAAAGCAGTGAATGACGTCAGTGGGACAAAATCTGGCAACCCGGGTGAACTGGAATTTCTGGGTGGAATGGAATAATCTGTTATGGCTAGGATGACTACGGACAAGTGTGGGCCTACTGTATACTTTGGCTACGGAGTTGCAAAGTACTTTGGCTGGAAAAACATGGGTGACTCAGTTTTTGGGTCTGGCAGGGTGTGACTTCAGAGAAGGCTTTTTAGAGGAGTGGTTCTTTTTCATATGATTTCATTCAGAAAACTGGATATGTCTAAATATTAAGCCATGTATGTGTTGGTTTCTGGTATATTAAGGACGGTGTGTAATGTTCCTCACAGGACTTACCTGCACATGCCAGATCCTCCAGGTGCTGCCCACATCCTTGCCACCTTAACATTCACATGTGGCCTGATGTCATCCTATCCTGTGATGTCATAGAGCTTAGGAAGAGTTGCCAAATTAGAGATGCTGAAGCACCCGTTCTTGCTTGTTTAGTTGCAGCTTTCCAAACCTGAGTTCTGTGGGACTTGCTACCAGGTGCATGGCCTTTGGCTGAAATCTTATATCTAATTACCTGGGCATAAAGCTCACTGAATGTACGCAGAGTGTACATGCATAAGATTGCACAGTTAATCTCCAAAGACTTTTGTGCTAACCCTGCTGATGAACTATGTTTAAAAGTGTATTTCCCTCTGATCCTTAGAAGCTGCTTCACACTTCAGTATGTTACACTAAATGGCAAGCTGTGTGTATTTTAATTTAATAAACTGTATTTCCTTGATGTGTGTGTTGCTTCTTGAAGACAAATCTATATGAGAATCAAGAAAATTATAGCAATAAAAACATTCCAAGCCATCAGGTTCAGCAAAGCAGGTGGTGCTTAAGAGCTTCCCCAAAGACATGCAAAGAAGGGACTTGATGGAACACCTGAGGGAGCTGATTCCACAGATGCAGGGCCAGCACTGAGAAGGCCCTCTCCTTTGTACTCATGAAACCAGCTGCCCTTGTTGGTGGGCAAGTGAGAAAGGCCTCCGCTGATAACCTTGGATTGCAGACAAGCTGGTACAGAAGTGATCCTTCAAGTAACTTGCATGCAACCTGTCTCAGTTCAAAACTTTATGAACAGCTCTCTGAACTGGCTTTAGAAATGCACTGGCAACCTGTGCAACTGGCACAATATCAGTGCCACATCTGGCCCTACCAAACTGTGGGAGGACATATTGCATCAGCTGAAGTTTCTGAACCATCCACAAATGCAGTCCCAGGTACAGTGCATTACAAACATCCAGCCTGGGTGTCACCACAATGTGAATAACTGAGTTAAGACCCTCCCTTTCTAGATAGGGTCCCCACTAGCTTACCAGTCTACTCTGTTGAAAAGTATTCCTCTTGAGCTTTCCCAGGATCCTTAAATGGAAAAGATCCTTAAATGGAAATGGAAATGAGACCTGAGTGTCACCCATATATTGATAGCCCTTCAGATCAATAGTGTCCTCAAGTTTCATGTTCATGTTGAAAAGCACTGGGGACAAGGTGGAATCCTGTGGCATTCCACAGACTAAAGGCTGTGGGATGGAGCAGAAGTTCAGCAGCAGCGCCTTCCAAGACAGCTCATCTGGGAAAGGTCAGAACCACCATTAACATCATGCTCCCTGTGCCCGACCCAGAGATATAATCCAGAAGGATATTTTATTAGATGGTATTGAAAGCTGCTAAGAGATCTGGGAGAACTGCCCCATCCATTTCTCAGAACAAAGCAAATGAGGCTGTTTCTGTTCCAAAAGTCAGCCTGACATTGGATTGGAACGGAACCAAGCAGACCACATCATCCAACACTACCTGGAGTGAAGAAGCCAGAGGATTAGCAAGTATCAAAGCTGTGAAAGGGCTACAAGCCAATGCACTAAATTATGAAGTGCTTAGTAGCTGAATGCCAGTGACGCTTTTTCCTTGGAACACCACATGATGTCAAGGTTGGTCTTGTATTCACACACATGATCCCTATAAACCTCCCAATGGCCTGCTAACATGGGCCAGTAATATTATCCCATAATGAAGAGGGAGTTGGGCTGAGAGAAACTTGTCTAAGGGCATCTGATGAGCTCAGGGAATGAAGCTAGATATGAACTGTGTGTGTACATCCGTGTTTACCCTGCTCTTAACCATGCTTCTTCAATAGGAGCTTCTCAACAAGACAAGACAATGTGGAAGGTAACAGAAACCCTAACTATTGGAAGCAGAATCCAGAACTTAAGCTTGGTTTATAAAAGATGGCAAATTTAGTCTGCATCTCCCACCATCTTTGCTGGTGGCTGCACTGATGCGGGGACAGCGGATGGAGGCCAAACCAATTAGAGCAGTAATGGGGAACCTTTTAGAGACCAATTGCCCAAAGTGCAACACAAAACCCACAAATTAAGCCCAAAATGCCAACACTACAATAAAACCAGGAAACTGAGCTTTAAGTTTAGAAAAAAAACTCACAGCCAGTTAAAGCAGATATATATTTGGCAGAGCATTGACGGGCCATGCAAAAACTTGGAAAAGTTGCAGCTAATGAGTCACAGCTCATCCGGTCATCGCCTGGTGCCACAACTCCTATCCGAAGACGTGCGTGGCCCGAATGTGCGCTGTAATCCGATGTTCGCCGTTGGGTGATGCTGGGGCAAATTGCCTCGCGAGCTGACAGAGAGAGCTCTGTTTGCCCACTGCGGCACCCATGCCATAGACTTACCACCACAGACCTAACCCTACCCTGGTGCAGGGCAAAAGTTCCATTGAAAAGAGGGTGATGTCGAAAAAGCCTCCACTGAGTAGCTTCTTCTGCCCAGCTCATCATTTCTGCCCATTCTAAATACTTACCAACCATCAAATCGATGACAGGGCACCTCGTAATTGTAACCCTAACCCTACCCTGGTGCACACCCCTAACCCTAAAACAAGGCAAAAGTTCCATTGAAGAGGGGGCAATTTCAAAAAACCTTCCTTGAGCAGCTTTTTCTGCACTGCCAATCATTTCTGCCCCCTCTAAACACATAACAAACATCAAAATCATGCCAATGTACCTTGTTTTTGTAACCCTAACCCTATCCCGGGGCACAACCCTAACCCAAGTACGAGGAAAAATTACCTTGGAAATGAGTGTAATTTTAAAAAAGCCTTCCTAGAGTAGTTTTTCTGCAAAGCTCATCATTTCTGCACATTCTAAACACATCCCAACAAACAGAATCATGCCAGGACACCTCATTTTTGTTACCCCAACCCTACCCTGGTTCACACCCCTAACTCTTATACAGGGCAAAAGTTCCTTTGAAAAGAGGGTGATTTTGAAAAAGCCTTCCATGAGTAGATTTTTCTTCCCAGCTCCTCATTTCTGCCCATTCTAAACACATCCCAGCCCTCAAAACCATGCCAGGACACCCCCATCCTTGTAACCCTAACCCTACCCTGGTGCATAACCCTAACCCTAATAGAGGGCAAAAGGGTGATTTTGAAAAAGCCTCCCTTGAGTACCTTTTTTGGCACTGCTTATCATTTCTGCCCATTCTAAACACATTCCAACCATCAGAATCATGCCAGGACACCTCCTTTTTCTAACCCTAACCCTACCCTGGTGCACATCCCTAACCCTAAGATAGGGCTATAGCTCCTTTGAAAAGAGGGCGATTTTGAAAAACCCTTCCTTGTGTAGCTTTTCTGCCCAGCTCATCATTTCTGTCTAGTCTAAACACACCCCAACCCTCAAAACCATGCCAGGACACCCCATTTTTTAAACCATAGCTGTACCTTGATGCATACCCTGAAACCTAATGCAGGGCAAAAACTTCCATTGAAAAGAGGCTGATTTTGAAAAAGCCTTCCTTGGGTAGCTGTTTCTGCCCAACTCCTCATTTCTGCCCATTCTAAACACATCCAAACCATCAGAACCAGACCAGGACACCTCATTTTTGTAACCCTAACCCTACCCTGGTGCACACCCCGAACCCTAATACAGGGGAAAAGTTCCTTTGCAAAGAGGCTGATTTTGAAAAAGCCATCCTTGAGTAGCTTTTTCTGCCCAGCTCCTCATTTCTCCACATTACAAACAGATCCCAAACATCAGAATCATGCAAGGACACCTCATTTTTGTAACCCTAACCCTATTCTGATGCATGCTCCTAACCCTAAAGAAGTGCAAAAGTTCCATTGAAAAGAGGGTGATTTTGAAAAAGCCTTCCTTGAGTAACTTTTTCTGCCCAGGTCATCATTTCTGCCCATTCTAAGCACATTGCAACCATCAAAACCATGCCAGGACACCCCATTTTTGTAATCCTAACCTTATCCTGGTTCACACCCCTAACCCTAATACAGGACAACATTTCCTTTGAAAAGGGGCTGATTTTGAAAAAGCGTTCTCGAGTAGCTTTTTATGCCCAGCTCCTCATTTCTCTACACATTATAAAAACATACAAACATCAGACTCATGCAAGGAAATCTCATTTTTGTTACCTGGACCCTACCCTGGTGCAATCCCCTAAACCCAATACAGGGCAAAAGTTCCATTGCAAAGAGGGTGATTTTGAAAAAGCCTTCCTTGAGTAGCTTTTTCTGCCCAGCTCCTCATTTGTCCACATTATAAACTCATCCTAAACATCAGAATCATGCAAGGACACCTCATTTTTGTAACTATAACATTACCCTGGTGAAAAACCCTAACCCTAATAAAGGGCAAAACTTCCTTTGAAAAGATGGTGATTTTGAAAAATCCTTCCTTGAGTAGCTTTTTCTGCCCAGCTCATCATTTCTCCACATTCTGAACACATTGCAACCATCAAAACCATGCCAGGACACCTCTTGGTCCACACCCCTAACTCTAATAAATGGCAAAATTTCCATTGAAAAGAGGGTGAATTTGAACAAGCTTTCTTGAGTTGCTTCTTCTGCCCAGCTCATCATTTCTGCCCATTCTAAACACATTCCAACCATTGCAACCATGCCAGGACACCTCATTTTTGTAACTCTAACCCTACCCAGGTGCCTACCCCTAACCCTAATTCAGGGCAAAAGTTCCTTTGAGAAGAGGGTGATTTTGAAAAAGCCTTCCTTGAGTAGCTTTTTCTCCCCAGCTTCTCATTTCTGTCCATTCTAAACACATCGCAAGCATCCGAATCATGCCAGGACATCTCATTTTTGGATCCTAAACCCTACCATGGTCCATATCCCTAACACTAATACAGGGCAAAATTTCCATTGAAAAGGGGGTGATTTGGAAAAAGCCTTCCTTCAGTAGCTTTTTCTGCCCAGCTCATCATTTCTGCCCATTCTAAACAAATCCCAACCATCAAAACCATGCCAGGACACCTCATTTTTGCAACCCTAATCCTACCCTGGTGAACACCCCTAATCCCAATACAGGGCAAAAGTTCCTTTGAGAAGAGTGTGATTTTGAAAAAGCCTTCCTTGATTAGCTTTCTTTGCCCAGCTCATCATTTCTTCCCATTCTAAACACATTCCAAGCATCAGAATCATGCCAGGATATGGCATTTTTTTAACCCCAACCCTACCCTGGTGCACACCCTTAATTCTAGTATAGGGTGAAAGTTCCATAGTAAAGTTTGGGATTTTGAATAAGCCTTCCTTATTTAGCTTTTCTGCACATCTCATTATTTTTGCCCTTTGTGAGCACATTCAACTATCAAAATCATGCCTGGACACCTTATTTTTGTAACCCTAACGTTGCCCTGGTGTGCATCCCAGGAACAACTCTCGGTCAGTCTACCCCGAACATACATATTCTTGGCA